AGATGGATCGTGCAGAACCAGTTGTTGCACATTACGGGTAGAATGATCTAATTTTTACTTTCATACTTTTATATTTCATATAAACCAAGATAGATATTAGTACATATTTCTGAAGCAAAAGCACATTTTCAAGAATTTAGATGCCTTTAAAACCAATTCCAGAAGGTGAAAATTTCAGTGGTGATGTTTCTTGCAGGGAATGCAATGTAAACTGAACTGGGAGTAGGACTACAGGATCTGGAAGCTTCTGTCACCTTTAAGCATTACACAGATGAAAAGGGATGCAACATAATGAAAATCTACAGAACAGTTGTCTTCTCAGAACTATATCTCTGCGTCTTCCAGTATGGGGTAGTATACAGTGTTGCAGCCTGTTAGTTAAATATTCAGCAGCCCACAGAGACAGACATACAGTACAGTACTAGCCAGCCTGTCCAAAGGGCCCATATGAGCATGGCATTCCTATGGTGTGAAGTAATCTATATATATGATTTATTTGTGATCCATACAGTGGAATTCCTCAGAGTGGGCAGTCCTTCCACAGAGGTGGACTTTAATAGAGATGATGCTGCATCTGTTTCTGTTGATCCTGGTGGGGACTCTTCAGTCGTCAGGGTGAATGTCAAGAAGACACCTCCCTTTCTGCTACCCTTTCATGTTTTCATCGTTCTGATTTGATCTGTGAAAACAAATATGTTGAAAAAGGTCATTTAGACAAACAATTTTACAATACAACTAATGGCAAACACTGTATTACACCTAAGCAATACATTCCTGAATGCAAAGAACAATTCAAGCAAAAAGCAATACATTATTTTTAATACCTTTGGTTCCATTACAGTATGCTGTGCTTTTTTCACTTTGTTATTGCACTGACCACTGACTGACCGCTTTGTAAAGGTCACGTGGGTATGCTCTATACCAGAAAGCCTGTGATTCCAGTGTCATTATACATGAAGCCTTAAGATTTCCCACTGTATATACATCAAGCCAGTCTGTACTCATGACATTTTCTGCATTGGTTTGGATTACTTTACTTTTCAATCAATCAGTGCAATGACACCCTAATTCAGTATGTGATAAATATATATATTTAAAATGAGAGTTAGAAAATGGTAATTTCTACAATTTAGGTTATTTCTTTAATGAGCATTCATACATACTGTATATATAAATCTTCACATTGTTACCATTTGTATTATTACACCTTGAAGAAAATGAGGGCTTAGTAATTTCACAGTCACAAATGTCTACAGCTTGAAATTACACATACATGGATTACATTTAAGAAGGACATTATCTAAGGGAAAACCTTGACTAACACTGTGCACATTAATTCAATTCTAAGATTAAAAGGTTTTACAATAAAACCAAAACGTACTTACTGGGCTATTTGGTCTAATGAAATCATGAAATTCAAAAAGTACAATAAATAGAAATATGTTTCATTATTGTGCATAATTATATTTAATAAATTGCTACTTTTTGTAAAAGAAAAATAACCATCCATTTTATTTCATCACAGGATGCACACACAGACAGACACACACACTCACAAGACAAAAATTCCCAGAAGCCAACTAACCCACCAGTATGTCTTTGGGAGGAAACCAGAGCACCCAGTGGAAACCCACAAGAACACAGGGAGAACATACAAACTCCATGCAGACAGCAACACAGGTTCAGGACTGAACCCAGGGTGCCAGCAGTGCAATGCTAACAACTGCTCTATTGTGCCATAAAAATATTTTAATGTAAAGGTTTTAAAACACATTTACTTAGAATAGAAACAGAATAATTATAAACAAAATAAAGTACTGTACACCATTATAATTCAAGCTAAACAAGATAAAAAAGTGGATATCAGTAACTATACTTATTTACAAATAAAGTTCCAGACATTTTCAGAAGCCTGTACAAATATAACAGTACCTTGGAGCCAGTCTACTCCTTCTTGTAATCCTTCACCTTTAACAGCATCACTCGCACTGAAAAACACAGTGTAGACTTCAACCGGCTATGCAGATTCATTAATCATGTGAAGTAATAGAAAACATGATTAATTTTCAGGGTGGCAGCAATTTATTTTGCTTTCTCTGCTCACATCCTGGCAATAAGGAAGCTGTATCTTGGCCACAAAACCTCCAAAACACCATCAAATGGAAAATAATTGTAATGATTTATAATACGTTTTCAGAACTTTAGCAAGAAAAGAAAAAAGATGTTACAGGAAAATCCTGACACAAAATCCTCCAGGATCCTTAACCTAACTGTACTGTGTACAGTAATTATTGTTCTCATTTTTGTTGGGAAAGTAAACCAAACCACAGGGTTATAAGAGTGTGACATTTATTTTTGTCCTCACTCACCAGATGTGCCAAGGCTTGTCTTTGATGTTTTCCAGACAAAGCAGCTGAGAAACCTTCACTGAAGATAAAGCATCTCTGAGGTCCATTTTGTTTGCAAAGAACAATATAGGCATTCTCCTGTGCTTGATGTCTAATTCACACACAAAAAGATTTTATACCATTACAATACAATATAGTACAATATATTTTTAGATGAAAACCCTTTTAAGGTAAGGCTGAAATAAATGTGAGTTTACATATGTAATGCTTTTCAGTTTTCACCTAATTCATCTGCATCAGGGATATCCAGCCCTGGTCATGGAGAGCCCGAATTCAGCAGGTTTTAAAGGTCATCATCAAATCACCAGCTTCTAAAGATATGGAACAATTCCTTTCTGACTAATTGAACAGACAATTTGTTAAATCAAGTAATTTAGAGATCACTTAACCCTACAGTGTAAGCACTCTTCAGACCTCTAGGATCAGAGTTCTCTTAATTAAAAAAAGACTTCATGATTAATCAAGTCACAGGTCTGCTGATCTTTAGAAACGGGTGACCTTTAAAACTAACTGGATTGGGGCTCTCCAGGATCAAGATCCAGGGCTCTCCTGATCTAAACTAGATTCCCTACAAATAATTTTAATTTAAAGTCTAGAATATCTAAACATGATTCATATATAGATATTTTTCTAGATTAATATACTAACAAACATCAGTAGTGAACTAGTGACTAGTGAACACTTTCACAATGTTACGCAAGTACTACAGAAGATTCCTGTTACTATGTGACTCACTGATTATTCTTGGTGATCTATTCCCAGAAGCAAGAATAATAAACATTCACTAAACAACCAGTTCTATTAAACTTTTTAAACTATACAGACATCACACATATCATACTTCTAACATCAAACACAATAATATTTGTGCCCTGTATTGAAAAGAGAAAATATTCTCAAAATATGCAATGCAAACAAGAAGCTTATTATGCAACAACACCTTACAATTATTTTTGTACTACAATGAAATATGTTAAAAATAAAATACAACTGTTTGCAGGAATTGAATGAATATAAATTTACATGTAACTAGAAAGATCATATGAATTGTATCCAATATTCACCACCCTCTCTTACCTGGATGATTAAGGAGTGTATCAAGTTCTTCTTTGGCAACTACCATCCTTAATTTGTCACTGCTGTCAATAACAAAGATGATGGCCTGGCCTTCCCTGTGTAGATGAAATTGGATAAATACAAGCTTCAAAGCACATGCCTTGTGTCTGCAATAAATTCCTGTGCAGCCCAGTCACAACATGGTGCTTTTGGAGGCAATGAATTATAAACTACAAAAATCGGTGAAGTAACAAAATTGAACTACACCAGAGGGCAAGAGTAAAGAAAACCCAGGCTTAATTTATTGAACACTGAAAGGCAAATGAGAAGCCTCTAATATTTGATAAATTTCATTATTATCTAGCTGCCTCATGCAGATTGCACTCTTCTTTTCAGAATTCCAACACATGCCTAATATTTATTATAAAGTGATCTTATCTTGATGTTCATTTATTGGCCATAAACAATTTCTTGTATTAGGAATTTGTCTTTTCACATACCCCAACGTGCTCTCCATGAGACACACGGGTAGGGAGAGAAGCTTGGGGTCAGAGCGCAGGGTCAGCCATTTATACGGAAGTTGGGGTTAAGGGCCTTGCTCAGGGGCCCAATGGAGTAGGATTCCTCTGCCGGTCGTGGGATACAAACCGGCAACCTTCCAGCCACAGGCGCAGATCCTCAGCCACAGAGCCACAGCACTGCCCCAACTTATCTTATCAACTATATACAGCAATTTGCAAGTCCCCACAAACACTGTCAACCGAAACATATAACTTACTTATAATAATGCTCCCAGAGATTTCTGTATCTTCCCTGACCAGACATATCAAACACAGTGAAAGACAAGCTTGAAAAAAGGGGAAAAAAAGAGAGATGTCAACTTAAAAAAAAATACAACATCTAATGTTCAGCCCTAAAACATCACACACTTTATTCATGCTTCTCGCATCAAAACAAATGCTTCCATTTGTCGTTGACCATGATGACCAGAACACCCCATGCCACTTGCTCATGTACTGTACTGCTTCACAGGACTACTGCTGGAAATCATCCTTCTTCTGATGCCACTTGGCAGTACATTACAAAAATACTTCACACACAGCTCTAGAAAGACTCATTCTCCCCAGTACAAGAAACAAACAGTACCTCGAGGTTTTAAACTTCTCTATGCTGAAGCCAATAGTAGGGACTATGTCCTGTGTTTGAGCCTGCAAGGAAAATGAACAAATGTAAGGAATCTAGAGAAAAGAAACAGATAACAAATGCTGCAAGTGCCTTGTCATTTTGCAAGACTGTTTCAGATGCATTCACAGAGCTCTGAAATGAGACTGGAATTTTGCAAATGAAAGACATGAACGGCATATAAGCCTGTAGTAGTATTGCCGATGTCAGCTTACACAGCCCTTCTGCTCAGTGGCTCAGCGAATGGTTAAGAAGATCAGATGTGCCCCAGAAGTGTCTTTCAAGGCTACTGTTAAACTCATTGACCCTCCACTGACACAGTGCTGCACTGCAACATAATGGAATGAAATAAACATGGGAAAAATGTGCCTTTTAAACCTATATACAGTATACATGCATTATGTACTGGCACTAAAACAGGATATTCTGAATGATATCCATGTTAATTCGAAGCAAAACATGCCCAGTACAGAAATGGAATGATGACTGTCAGAAAGATATATGTGTTTTTATCATCGTCACTGCCATAGTCTTGCAGAAAAGTGATTAAAAAACTACAAGGATTATGGAACACATCAAAGATATTAAAGCCATCTTGTACAATGTGCAGTTCACAAGTTAATCTAAGTTGCATGCAGATTTCTGTAATCAGATTTAAGTGCTATATCATGCATGAAACAGGAAGCACCACGGAGAATGCTAAGGGTTTTTCCGGGAGATATGTACGTGATTTTGATTGTGAAAATAGCAAACCCAATATGAAACTGTCTTGAAGTTGTATAAGTATGTCTACAGTACTATTCTTATCTTTAGAAATGGGGTTGCAAATCAATGACCTGTGAACTCTTCACACCATCAAATCGATAATGTGTTTGAAAAACACTGTACCTAAGATTATATATAGATGGGATTTGGTATTGGTAGCATTATACCTAATATAATTATACTTCTTTTTTTAACCTGCATGGGCCTGGGCAAGAACACTTTAGCATGTCACTGTGGGTTAGTGTAGAGCAATTTTCCTTAAAAAATAGACTGGGGGTCCTTGCTGACAGCTGACAGGACCCCCCAAAAGCGAGGGACAGGAGAACCTTTAATCGAGTCCATTACTTCAGTATGAGCAGCACATTGGGGAAACTGCAGCCTACCCTGCCTAGCAAGATAGGGTTACACCCAGGATGGGACGCCAGTCCATCACAGGGCACACAAAAACACAAAGACACAAACACACATATTCACCAGCAGTCTTTGGCCCGTGGGAGGAAACCCACGTGAACACAAGGTAAACATATACAAACCAGACCACAGCACCCCAGAAATTGAACCTAGGACCCCAGTGCTGTGAGGCAGAAATGCTAACCACTGCCGCCACCAAGTTTTCCTCATCATCAACCAATGTTTTTCTCTATATAGGCTCGATGTGAACACACCGCTTTTTGCACTAAAAATAACAGATCTCCCTAGGTGACTGTGTGCTTAAAATAATGTGGAAATACCTGTCAGTAGAAGCTTCTGCATAAAGAAGGAAAGACTGGCTGCGAAGAGCAAAACAATACATGTGTCAGAGAATTCTGTGTAAATTAAAAGCCTTACGTTGGATGGCTTCAGCTTATTAATGATGGTGGTTTTGCCGCTGTTGTCCAGCCCTAGGCACAGGACGTGAACCTCCTTCTTCTTGATCCCCAGCCAGCCTGCTAGCTTGTCGAAAAGCCCCATGGGCTCGGTGCTCAGGGACTGGCCTGTTGCAAAACAGGAGAGATTCTCAACTGCGCACGCCGGTTTCCCATTCCTCGGCGCGACTGTGATCTATCACCCAGAAAAACAAACAGGTCGCAAAACGGGCGATCGCCACTGTAACACGACCCCCAAGCCAGGCAGCCTTCCCTCTTGTTAATCAGATTAGAGCGCAGGGTCACAGTTCTGGAGAGCTTTCGGGAGGTGAGGAGGCGTCTCTGCGCAGCCTGGAAAGGAAAATCGGCGGCCAGAAACGCAGCACAATCCCAGACATTAGGGAAAGCCCATGATATTTTTAACACAGAGCCGAGGGAAGTGAGCAGGTGTCTCCGTGAGAGAGGGGGCTGAGGGTAGCGACGTCCCTAGACCGCGTTGCCAGGTATTACCAGGTATTAGGGAAGACGTCTGTAAATGGATTTATTTAGTCAGCTACACGAGGTCTGGTTCCGCGTACTTTAAATATAGAAACAACATTTTATCGAGACTCTGCCATTTCTATCACTTACGGATTGCTTGTTACCAGATAAATGTTACATACCTCGTTATCGAAATCGCATCCGAGAACCGCATGTTAATAAACTGTACACACGAAGATCATGAACTAACAGATAAGGGTCGGCGCTGGGAATCAAAACGTCTCAAATTCTCCATCGGTCCAGTAAAATGATCTTTTAATGGAGCTGTTTTTCTAACGACTAAAGTGCGTTAGGAATAGTCTTAATCCACCCTGTCAAAAGTTACAACTAAGCCCAAATCACTCATGAGCACCGATGCTTAGTTTGAAGACGTTTCTTTCTGTGCCCTCAATAAATCACTGCATGTCGGACGACCTAATCATAACTAGATACAAGTGAACATGAATCATAAGGCATTTGACGAGTACGTCAGTGTGCTTCGATATATAAACTATTTTAAATATTTTTCAACAGAGACACGAGCTGTTCAACTTCGCCTCGCATCTTCTCTTTCTCTCCTCCCGGCAAACCAACAGCAACTCATTCTGACATTTATAACAAAACAAAACGTCAAAACTTCATGTATGAAGGTATGTCGTTTTAAAAGAAGACAAGGTTTTACCTGGTCAGCTCTCCCGGCCTTCACGATTTGTGAAACCTCGGTCTTTCCTGACGCGCAGAGCCCGCTCCTTCCGGCTCTGCTGCTCCCCTCCGAGCGGTTCGCCACCACCTTGCTAGATCCCCGGACGCGCTATCGTAAATCTGCGGTAGCAGTGATCTCACACTTGGACGCCGTTTTCATTGTCCTCAACAATGCCAAAAGACAGATTTCGCATAACCGTGTCGGCCGCGGTTTATGATCAAGCAGCTTGCGGGAGACACCAGGCTTTAGCAGCAGATGAAGTATTTACTGTGCGTTGCTAAGGAGACGTGGGCACTGCGCCTGCGCCACGGCGTCTCTTCCTTGGAGAGAAGCAGCTGCAGCAACTGTGGTGAAGCTCCGATGGATTGTGACGTTTAACCATCGAATAAAGGCGTTTATTTTGCTCCTCAAAACGTCTTGATGATAGGATACACAGGGGTATCATTTTGTGTATCCTGGTGCCGATTAGGAGAGCTCAAACCAAAATCCAGAAACATGAACGCGTGTAAGATTCCTAGGATCCCCATCTACCCATTTTCTAACTGCGTTATCCAACACAGGGTCGCCGGGGAGCTGGAACTTTTCCCCCGCAAGCAACAGGTGCAAGGCAGGTTGCACCCTGGATGGGACGCAGGTCCATCACAGGACACCCACTCACACCACGGTAAGTTTTCCAGGAAGCCAATTAACCTGCCAGTATGTAATTGGATTGTGAGAGGAAAACAGAATGCCCAGAGGAAATCTAAGCAAACATGGAGAGAACATACAAACTCTGCAGAAATCATACCCCAGGGACACAAGGCAGCACTACTAACTCCACAGCCGAAACATTGTTTTCTTTCTTCTCTTTTCAGCATGGAATAAACCTATTCTTCCTTTGCAGCCTATGCATGCTGACACAGCTACCCACCTGAACTACAGTATCACCTTGCTGCCCTCATACCATTGAAACATGAATAATTTTGTATTCAGCTCGTGTGTATCACAGATGTCCCCCGCCCCCTCTCACAGCTGGTGGCTTTTAGTGCAGCTGAGCTCGAGTCCTTAATAGAACCAAGACAAAGGTTGGAGATCTAAAACTACTTAATAAATTACATAGTTAATAGGCAGCCACCAACATGTTTGAATCTGTTAAAAACCCAGAAGGTGTGCATGTCCCCAGGACCAGGATTGGAAACTCCTGGTGTCCCATTTACAGCTTGTTTTACAATGGAACCTGATCCGTAGTCTAAGGAGGCCTAAACCAATATTTCCAACTCTATAGAGTAGTGTTTCGCAGTCCTGCTCTTGGAATGCCCCTGTGTCTGCTGATTTTTATTCCAACTAGGCTCATAATCACCAGGGCTAATTGCTACCTGTGGCTGATCTGCTTGGTGGTGCAGAAAAAAAAATCTGCAAACCAGCAAGCAGATCAGCCACAGGCAGCAATCAGCCCTGGTCCCAGATGGACACAGAACCAGCAGACACAGGGTTACTGCAAGACCAGGACTGGAAACCCCTGCTACAGATGCAGTGTTTGTGTACCACTTCAGCACAGTTGCAGTATGTGAGAACTGGTGTGCCAAAATCAGATTTGGCGCTGTTTAGCTGCTTAGCCCTAGTAATAGTGATGTACACCATATATTCTTCATAGACAAATGTTCTGGGATTCACCATTTGGAACTTCCTGCAGCAATCACATAACAAATGTTTGAAACTGAGTTTAATTTCACAAAAGGCCACTTTTTCGCCACCCTGTTTCGTCAGCAGCTCATTCCTGGTGTTCCTTAACAGCACCCCTTCCTCTAGGAGAGCTTTCCAGGCTGTGATTGAAAGGGCAGACCTCTAAAAGGCTGTTTTTGTATACCCCCTGTTTATAAAGTAAAAACTTGTGGTTTTGAGAACATCATGTTTGCAAGTGGCATGAAATGCCTAAAACTTTGGTGACTGAGAGTAACTATGTTGTATGTCTGCCACTCATTAGTTTTCATTATTCCATTATCCTAATAGACATGCAAGTCAGAGTCAAGTTTCCTCCCTCCTCCAGACCAGATGCATATTAAGCACGGCAAGAATGTTGGATGTAGAAATATGCACTGATTAAATCATAGTTACCGGAGACTAAGTAACTGCGTTGCTCTGTCATAGTAAGCAGGCACCATGACTGCATTTTTAATGGTGACCCTTTTAATAGAATCCTATTTGATTGCCAATCCCACCTGTGTAGGTCCAGTTTCTCCATAGTTTGCTAATTGAGCTTGTATTTACACAATTTTCCGATATCATTTGAACATGGAAGGGCTGAAAATCTTAATCAAAAGTCGTTAACAGAGAGTGGAGACTTCAGTGTCCTGCTGTACCCAAAAGAATGGCTAAAAAAAATTCAATAGATTTCTTCATATTCCTGCTGTTAACTGTAATGCACCTTTCTTAGTTTATCGCTTTGGTGAGATTTTAATGCACAATGTTTGTCTGGGAAATGCTTACAATTTTTAAATGTCTTCTGAAAAAGAGACCAGATGTAGTGCAGCAGGAAAGACAATTCAGAATTTTTTGTTTTTCTAATAGAAAAAATTACAACATTTTAATCATACAGATCCTAAGAAGAACAATTTGATATAATACAGAATTGAAAAATAATTAATCCACAAGCATGAGTAAACTATTGTCTGTGACAGTATAAATAGCTGAGACAGTATGGCAGGCTGTAGTTTTGCAATCTAACAGATTTTGGGTTTTGTTACTGATCCAGAATTATCTGTGGGTTTATAACACCTTGTGTGCAACTGATACCATCGCATCAACTGAGAAGAGAGAACAGAACCTCCAAAGAAGAAATCTAATTTAATCCAATCACTGCCCGATGAAGATCGTTAAAGACCGAACACCCTCTGTACACATATTTTGTCTGCAATGCAAACTCTGGCAAATACTGTATTCTGACCTGTTACTCAATATGTGTCTGGAATCAAGGAGCTTTGAAAATGACTTAATTTTTGTTGCAAATGTGAACTCAGTTGCTTTTGAGGCTCATGTTGCCCTTGGATACATAAATGCAACGTATTCTTTTCAAGATTCTCTTGAGCTGCTGTTTGTTCCCACAATTTCCTTTGGAGAAGAATTTGGCCGCCTCACTATTGTAACTGTTAAAGAAAAGATACCATTCTTGTCTCTGTTGGCATTTGTTCTCTTTGACAGTGAAGCAGAAACTGTCAAAACATTATGTTCTAAAATTGTAACCAGGTGAAGCTGACTCGCCTCTGTTGACTCCTCATTTATATAAGACTGCTGATATGGAAGTAGTAGCTTGGTTGTGGTGGAGGCCTAATTTACTTAGAAATCCCATATCTCATTTTGTATAGCATAGTGTGGATGTGTCTGATAAAATGAATGACTCCATTACAATGTATAACAGAGTAAACAACTTAACTCAACCTGCCTGTCAATCTAAGTAAAGTACAAGTGATCTTTAATATTTGTTTTGAGATTAATGTATTGAGATTATTAATGGAAATAACAAAGAGGGGGAAGTTCTCAATTCTCAAAATGTAATTTTGAAATTACAGGCAGTAGGTATTCATGGAAACACAAGTGTTTGGATTGAGAATTGATTATTAAATAGAAAAAATAGGGTGCAAATAAGAGTGGAATAGTGAAATTGAGATGATGTAATTAGTGGAGTACCACAGGGTTCTGTATTAGGACCACTGCTTTTCTTATTTTATATCAATGTTCTAGATTCTGGAATAGTAAACTAGTTTACAGATGATACCAAATTAGAATGATTAACATCAATTTAGATTGGAATTCAAGCATGACTTCAGTCTTGTCACAGTTTAAATAAAGAAAATTTTGAGAAATCCAGGATTTTATGTAAGAAATGCAATTAGAGAGTAGAGAAATAGTCACTTCAGTGCCAGGTTTGGTGTGGGCATAGATTTGAGTATTGTGACATAGAAATGATAATTCAACCCATTTGATTTTAATAACTGATCAAGTGAGAACATGTAAATGCTGAATATTAGGGGTCCCAGTATCAGGGCCCTGAGGAACACCAGACTTAACGAACCCAACTTTAGAACTGAAACCCCCAAGAGAGACAAAATGTTGGAAAACAGAAAGGTATATGTTTGCTAAATTGGAAAGCTGTGAATCAATGTGAATATTAAAATCACCACGAATAATGATCTTATTAAATCCGAAACACAACAGTGCAAGAAAATCCACAAACTCACCTAAAAATGCATCATTATGCTCAAGGAGTCTGTAAATTTTACCAATGACAGTAGAATGGGTAATAGAGAATACAATGAGACCTGATGCAAGTACAGTAGGTAAAATCCTGAAAGGCCTGGACGAAGTCAACTCGGCAGATTTCTGCAGAATCAACAACCAAAGGTGACTAGTGGAATGTATGTGAAGGTGCATTTAAATCTGAGAACAGAAGGTGTGTATTTACAGAAAGGGTTGTGGGAGTAAGGAAAAGGCTACCCAGCTATAGTACAGTATGTTGTTGAAGTTGAAACCCTGGTTTAAGAATTGGCTCCTCAATTAGATTGAACTTGCTAGATGGGCCAAATTGTTGCCTTTCTTATTTTTTTGTGTATTCTGGTTTTTGGTAAAACAATGTGTATAATAGCTCCTGTGTTCTTTTTAAACCTATTGGTGGATATGTCGATCTTTGGTTCCAAAGATTTTTTGTATTTGAATTCCTGAAGAAACACACCCTGTCAAGGTATTGTTCTCTTATTTATAAAATGAGTATGCAAATCAATATCTCAATATCTTCACATCAGAACCACGGTTTTATGTACTGTGTAGGCCAACGAGTGTTGTTTGTGATTCTAGTTCCAAAAAGATAATGTGAGTACAGTAAGTGTAAATGAAGATACAATATTATTTTTTGGATAAAGAAAAAAACCCAATTTGTACATTTACAAAGCAACAGTCACTCTAGGTAACCACCAGAACTGTAACTTTTATTTGCTAATAAATATCCTCATAAACAGGCGTATATAGTCTGTAAGACCTGACAATGCCTCTTTGGAAATTATAGAAAAATAAAATACAAGAATTATAAGTAACTTGTACTTTGTACAAAAAATCTCATTACATTGCTCAGCAGTAACATTTGCTAAACACCGTTTCTGTGTCTTCAAATCTTGAGCGTTGTAGCAGTCTGGAGCGCATGGGGCCAGCTCACTCTGTCGACCTGGAAGGCATGCTGTGCGTTTGAACATGTGCTGAATGTTTTCATTGTCAATGGAAGATGTCACTGTCTCACATTAAGAGGCATGAATGAGGGTGCTGCATGGCATTTGTATGTGGCAACTGGCATTTAATATACAGCATCCCCAATTCTCTTGTTCTCCGCTGTGCCTGGACTTTTCAAACCAAAGAATCACTAGGTCTTTACATGATGTTGCAGTTCACACATCAGTCCACAGGAGGGAAGGCTTCTGTTATTTTACTGTGGGGCCTGAAAGGCGTTTTTGAAAGGCTATGGGGGACCTCTCTTCCTGTCTCGCTGGCTTTGTTCAGACTGGCTTTCACAATTCACCTCTCCAGTTTCTCTTTAGTATTCTGGATATACGATTTCCAAAGTTACTACTCACTATTGGCCATTCACAGGTACAGGAACATATGCGATTGGATTCCATTTCCGTCACTCAGAACGCTGGCTGAACCTACACATTGTCAGATCTCCCCTTTATGACAAAACAATTGGAGGAGTGGGCACTCAACAGCTACTGAAACTATACTACGAAAGGCTTCAGTTAGAATGAAGACTATTCAACTTTACAAAACTGGACTTTTAGCATAGTTCCCTCAAATCATAGTGCCTGAGGTGGACATGTCTGTACGGTTATGACTTTGTTAAACTGGTAACAAAATTTTTATTTCTGTTATTGAATTGTTTTATAATAACTGCATATATTGCTGAGTAAACTGAATTAATTAAAGGACTAAAGAAATAAAACAGAAAATTTACTAGGGCTTTCACAAACAGGACCGCACACATATAAATATTAGGTTAAGATAATAATCGGTAAATGGATTATACACTTAAAAGTTGACAACATTCAATAATTCATACCTAAAATTGGCTCTTCATGTTTTTCAAGTATCAGCATACCAGATAATCTGGGAAGATTTCAATAACTTAACAAGAATACCTTATGACTTTTACTTATCAAACTATAAAGTAATTAATATATTAAGGACAATCCTTTGATTGCACATTTGATATTAGCAGCTACATGGTCACAAAACATGAAAAAAACAGAAAATCTGTAGATTACATCCCCAAATTTACCATACAATTCTATACTTAGCAATACTGTTGCCACCACAAGGCTTATTGTCTTCGTCAGCTGACCACAAAGTTTGTTGTAAAAAAGTCTGAAGGAGTCATGTCTCCTTTGCTTGGCATGGTTGTCTTCCAGTCATTAAAAACAGTCTTGGTTACAGAGTTCATTTATTGGAAGTCGAAAGGAAGCCAGTTTTACTGTTTCTAAAATTGTGCCAAAGGGTTTACAGTTTGTTGCTTTTGCAGGACCGTCCCGTAGGACTTGCAGGAAAAAAGTCTTCCTATTGGAAAAAAAAAAAGCCGAGGCACAGGAGAGGGCTGTCTGTCTGTCCGCTGTATTTCATACATGAAAGCCCTTCTCCTGCATGTGTAGAATCTGCAGCCTCAATGTCTGTATACTGCTCACTATCCTTCTCTGGTGACCAATTAGCGTGACGCCAATCCTCCTGACATCACTGGAAAGAAGGAAGTGATGAAGGAATGAAGAAAGGAAGTGATGAAGGAAGGAAGAAAGAAAATGATGAAGGAAGTAACGAAGGAAAGGGTGAAGAAAAGACGTAACCAAGGAAGGGAGGAACAAAGGAAGAAAGAACAGAAAGAAAAGAAAAATAACATATTCAACAAGTTATTAAACACACTGTGGTGCAACCAAGTGGCATTTTACTGTGGAAATGTTTACTGTCTATGAATGATGACCCAAGAGCTGAGAGATCAGCCCTGTGATTGCTCCTCCAGCTAGGCCTGACTATACTACACCGGGAGTCAAGGAGGGCAGGACCCCTGGGATATACAGTGGCCTCCAAAAGTGCTGAGACAGCAAAGTCAATACTGCAATTTGTATTTGTGATCAGGGGATGAATATAAATAAAAATTACAATATAAATACATTTAATGGACATTTTATTTTCGGGTAGTCCTATGCAAATATTTGATCATATTAGAACAGAAACAGTTACAGAGGCAGCCATGAATGCTCAGGACAGGCCATGCTTCACTGAGGTGGTGTTGTTGTTTGGAACATCTGCAGTTCCTTTGTTTCTTCAGTAAAGGTTTACCTTGGTCTGATCTCTCTACAAAAGCTCTCCTTGTTCATCTTTGTACAACTGAGCAAACAGCAGGGGATATGAAAGGTAATATGGCCTGGGGATGCATGCTCACCTCTGGAACAGGCTTCCATCTTTATCGATAATGATGGCTACTGCAGAAAAGAGTCTGCAACTTTTTGTCTGCTTTTATAGAAGAAAGTTGCTTTGATGCATATTGGGAGGAGCTTCACCGTCCAGCCTGAAAATTACCCCACAACATGCAGCCGGTGCAATCAAAGAGTTCATCAGGAGGAATAGTGCAAGATCTTATATAACTCAAGCCCAGATCTAAAAAGCATTTCACATGTTAAAGAAATAATTAATGTCGGAACACCCCACAAACGCACAATAACTCAAAGTAGCTCCGGCAAAGCATATAAAATGATTAACTAAACAGAATGGAAGCTCAACGGGTGACAAATGTCTGGCAGTTATTCCCTCATTGGGATATGCAACCATACTATCACATTCTGAAATGTACTTAAAGTGAATGTTCACTTCTGATCTATACTAATACTTCCAGTCTCTTGAAATCTTTGGGTTAAACTTAAAACATTTGTTTGTTCTAGTACAAGCAAATGTATGCATGGACGTACCAAAAATAAAACATATATTATATTTTACTTATCATACATATTAAACTTATGATCATAGTTCATATATTGGTTGGCGGTAAAAAGCAAAAAGTTTTGACTTTGCTGTCCCAGTGCTTTCAGAGGACAATATATAGTGTTTGCGTTGCCTTTCTCTGTCATATTCTACTTATATGAATTTGCCATGTTTTATGATGTAATTGCTGTTATCTTTAATACTATTGAATTTGTCTTTGTATGAGCACATCTGAAAGATTTTTGTGCATATTCCTTTACTCTGTAGTACTTTCACACTTTCTTTTTGTGGGCTGAACGGTACTCACTCAATGCTCATCCGTGTTACGGAGTCCAGGGTAGTGAAACCTGCTGCCATGAAATTGTTTTTATACTGGCTCATTTTAATGGAGTCCAGCCAGTCACCAATTGAGATGAATAAAGGGTATTCTGGGACATCTCCAGGGGATTCTGGCAAACTGCAGACATAAAAGCAAAGATAAATGCATAGAAAAGACAAACAATGAGAAAGATTTTGTGCAAGTGCCAAAGTCTTATTAATTTACACTCTCCTACATTCTCCACTCCCCCTTATTAACGCATACATTATAAACGTTATGCATTTTAAAGTTCCTCTTCATAGGGAGTGCTTAGTTCTGAAAGTCTTTCATCATAGAACAGAAGTGTGGGGCAGAATCTGCAGCCAGTGAAGAAACTGCAAAGAAAGTTAGAGGGGGAATTGTATTCAAAATATTGAATGCTTATTTAATAGCCAGCTAATTTAATAAACTACTGAAATACTGAGCCAGCTCTGGTTTGCTCATTTTGCAGCTCAAACCAAGCATCTCGATATCATCAGTGATTTTCCAAAGCTGGACTAATTATGTGAATGTGGACAATAACCGTAGTTCAGTTAATTAACCTGGGGTTCATGTGGAATGATAATCCCAATGGTTTTGGAGGACACTGGCATTGTCTATGACTTCTTCACATAACCAATCAAGGGATCAGCCCCAAATCACTAAATCAGCTCCTACCCTTGCACATCCTCCACAAGCGTTTGTAGGCTGCTGGGGTTACGGATGAGCTTGTCCAGGAAACTGACGATGTCAGTGAACTTGGGCCGGTGGCTCCTCTCCTTCTGCCAGCAGTGCAGCATGAGCTGGTGCAGGGTTACAGGACATCCCATGGGAGCAGGAAGGCGGTATCCTTCTTCTATTGACAAGATCACCTGCAAGAAACATGGGCGACCTGGCTCAGCTCAGGCGATCTCAGCCCAATTCCCCAAGGCTCGGTGAACTTCAGTTTAACATTTACCACACCACTTTAACTGCATACATGAATATAAAGCTAACATTTATTTTTTTTCAAACTCTTTTCCAAAGGATTTCTAAAAGGAAACCTGGGATCATGTGTTTTTTGAAAAGGGCTTGGAAACTGACCATGTGTGTAAGACCTGTGTTATCGCTCATCCAGTGATTAGAGAGCATTGTGTGCGGTGATATTCAGTTTATGTGGAGGGCCTGGGATGAGTCAGTACTCGCAATGAATTTAAAAGGAATTTGAAAGGAAATGGCAATGACAGTAACTCTTTAAATACTTTTTAACAATGTACTTGCACTGTAATTAGACAATCAATACTAATAAGATTAAAAAGGAAAACAAACTGTCCTGTCAATTTTCATTCTTTATGATGAGGGAGAGGGGCTCTTCTCAGGTTTATGGAATTTGGAACTAGATTTAGATATTCACCTTCAAGGATAAGGTGAAGATCTCAAAACCACAAGAAAAGTGATTTAAGGAATGAAGAGGAGGAGAGGAGTGTCTAATTTTATTTTGCTGTCTTGCAATTCATGTTTTGACACCAAAACTAAAAAGTAAAAATCAGTATCATTACAAACACAATCAGAACAAAGATTTCTTTGTTTCTCCCAGTTTTTCTACCTCTCAAGCTCAACCCTTCCTGCTCCCATAATCGCAATATTAACTCATTTATAACGTAAAATGGGGGAGCTACACAAAATGCATTAGAAACTCAAGTTTTAGTTTCCAGTTTTAGCTGTGATCAATTTACATACCTCTACAGCCTTTCTTGACAAGCTTATTACATGCCTAGGCAACAAAATGTTCAGATATCTTCTGTTCCCCACCACTATATGTACTGAATATGTACTGTTAAAGTCGTGAGAAGTGATATAGTAATACTGATGCTATAATGAAATGAAAAGACTGCATTCCTGATGGTGTTAGATGTAAATAATTAATGCAGATTTGAATTTGCTGACTTTGCTTCATGCGACTCCTAATGAAGATGCTGAAAATACAAAATGATGAAAGTGGTGAGGATGGAGAGATGTTTCAAGGAGGTCTTTACTTGAGTTTGTAGAGCTAATCCAAGTTTATCAGCGAAACGTGAAAGCGATAAAGTGATCAAACAAAAACAACATCAACACAATATTATTATTATTATTATTATTATTATTATTATTATTAATTTTATTATTATTATTGGTGGACGTGGACTAGTTGAACTAGAGTCCGCTTGCAACTCAGCCATCGCTGGCCTAAGCGACTACATCAAGCTAGGCAAAGATATGTTTACCAGGCTAGTGAAGGAGCATGATTCCGGCAAAGCAAAATACTCTCTCCAAAAAGAAGCTGAACTTATCAAGGAGAAGTACTTGAAGCAAGAGACCGCTCAAGCTCAAGAATCAACTCAAGCTCAGCATTGAAAGAAAGAAAATAGAACAGCTCAAGAGCAAGTCATTACATGGACAATTCTATTGAGATCTCGACACAGCAGCAGTTGATAAAGAGGTGTCCTTCGTATGGTTACACAGTTTTGGTCTAAAAGGAGAGACAGAAAGCTTGATTTTGGAACAGCCAGTTGATAGCAAATGCAGAATGTGCAGCAAGGCAGAAGAACATATTGTTGCAGGCTGTACAACACTTGCACCGTCTGAGTACACCAACAGACACAACAAGGTGGCCAGCTATATCCACTGGACAATGTGCAAACATTTGGGGGTACAAGTGCCTGACAAGTACTACGAGCACGTACCCGAAAAGGTTGTCAACACCACCAATTTCACCATCATGTGGGACATGCCTATAGTCACAGACCGAACCGTCCTGACATTGTGCTGCATGACAAGAAAGAGAAAACATGCCTGCTGATCCATATAACCATTCCAGATGACTTGAACGTCATGATTGGAAATTGGAAATTGAGATCAGCGGGATGTGGAATGTGAAGACAAGAGTTGTGCCAGTCATAGTTGGAGCACTAGGGACACTCAAAAAGGGATTTGATCATAACCTTTTGTTGCTCCCAGGCTATCCATCAGCAGGCGAAGTGCAGAAGATCTCATTAACGGGCACTGCACACATCCTTCGTAAGGTGCTAGAGTAAATCGCTTCAATCTCTTGTTGAGATCTGGATTTACAAGATACCGACAAAAAATATCCGGTGAGAGGAAGAAGTTATAATAATGAGGGAATTAACTTATAGTTTGTACTAAAAGTTTGTATTATATCTTGTTGGCTATGTATTTCTTTACTAACTCTGTTTCAGGATGTCTTGTCTCAAAAGATAATATAGATTCACTTTATCTTTACGCATAGCTGGCATAGTTCTCAGGGAAATGACCGAGTGACCTCTCCTAGAACAAATGGTCTATTCAGCAGAAGGGGCTGCTTGTCAAGCAAGCCAGGAGTAAAGAAAATATAGGTACTGGTCAGCATTCTAGAATGACCCTATATAGCCACAATGCAAGCAGATATTTATGTGGGAGTGTATCTTGTATCATTTGTTTCACTGTATAAAAGAACACTGTAAGAGTTGTCTTTTGAGTCTTGCATACAAGAGCAAGACTCCCATATGCATATGAAATAAAGACGAATTTCAATACAAAAACTCTCGGCTGATGCCTTTTGTTTGGCACAACAATAATAATAACAGAAGTATAAACCTAAAAGTTTGATAGAACTAAGTCTAAGTAAAGTTTTAACACTTTTCTACAGGTCATTTATTGAAAGGGTCTTGACATACTATCTCACTTATGTGTTACTGAATTTCGATTTACAAGGTGAGATGCCCTTTTGTCCTCTGCTGTAAAAGTGACAGGATGTCTTCCATCCCTACTGCCCTATTACTCTCAAACAATGTAAAGTAAATCTCCCATCTCATGTAATACTATTGTACTGTTTTCTCTGTTGGTAATGTTTGCCTTCCTTCTTGTATTGTTGTATAGGACTGGGCCAAAAAACAAATTTCCCCCAGAGAATAATAAAGCTTGAATTAAATTGAATAAAGTAATAGGAAACAAAAGCGTATTTAAATAAAAAAAGTATTACAACCAATTTAATGATAGTGACAACTTCTATATAAGAATCATTTTCTTATCAAACTGTAGTATCTGTTTGAATTTATTTCAGCTAGTGTGTATTTTTTCAGAATTAGCTCACAGGAGGAGACAGGAGGTAGCGGATACTACTATAGGCACTATTTAATATACAACAGGAAATAAATGACCAAGCTTCCCGCTGTTCTGCAACTTAGAAATGGACCAAATGAAAACTTTGACCCTCAGTCTGTTGCTAATTACAATACTAGTACAGTACATGATAGCAAACTTGTTTCCCGCTATTATTGTTTCCAGGAGTAGGAAATCTCTTTGAGTTAAATGAGTTAATCGTTTGTGACTTGCATTTTGCCCAAGCCTTTGTCTGTTCAGAACATAGACTTAAAAGAAGCAGGAACAAGAAATAAAACTGGTGGCTCCTTAACAATTCTGCACAGTCTCCCTGTGAAAAAGGAGAGAGTTTTGTATCACCCAGCCACTTAAAACCTCAATTCCTCTCAATTCCGGGGAAGATGTAATACACAGAAAATTTAATTTTTTACTATTTCAGTCGTCCCCAGTATAGTTCCAAATTGATTGCTCTGGGTTGCGTTGTAACATCCATCTTCATTCTTTTTCTATTGAAAGACATCCCTGCTGGGCTCCTACCCACAAAGAATGAGGATGTTTTATGCTGGACTGAGACCCCTGTGCAATTAAACCTTGTGAGTAAGTGGCCTTGGACTTGACATGTTTCACAAGTCCTGAAGCTCCTTTCCTGCATATGCTGGGGAGCCATCTAGGTACACCAGCTGTCGAAGGTTAATTGAATGCATTTTTGCTCATGCTCTCCCCAGCCAGTTTTGCTCACTCTGGGAGCCATGAGTAGAGGAGAGGGATTAAGACAATGCATCATGTTGTCAAAGCAGCTGAACACAAGCCTACTGAAAGCACCTTTGTGGTGCCCTGGAGTAATTTCTGATGTTTATTCTCAGCCCCGCAGATGTCCCATCACTGAAACGTCACAAACGGTTTCCTTCTCAAGCGCGTGCTTGTTTATCAGGTATTAATATTCACTTAGGAAGCACTTGTTGTAAGTGCCGGTTTAACAGAACGTAGGTTGGAGGCCCTTGTCTGTTTAGTAGGATGGATTCTGGGAAGAAACTTGTTCAAGTGGCGTAGGTCTGCCCTCAGCTCTATTAAATCCTTGGTATATTGGGAATAAAAAGGCAGCACAAGTCTACCTACCCATCCTCTCTTGAGAACATTTGGTGCCAATTAAGCAAGAAAAATTCTTTAGGTTCTATCAAGAACCTGCATTTCTGGGAATGAGGTGGAAGTTTGGGAGAAGTTAACCATCTACAGTACTTTTTCAAAGATCCATTCTAGTTACTGCCAAATGGACAAGATGGGCCCAATGACTAATTTTTAATTATTTTTATGTTCCTAAAAGACCACTTAGTCCTTCACAATAAGACCCAAAATCCAATTCTTTTCCAACCAGATTATCTGACTAAGGGTTGCGGGGGAGCTGGAGTGTATTTCAGCAAGCCATGGGTACAAGAAGGGAAATACCCTCAATGGGATGACAGACAATCTCAGGGCACACCCACTCACAAACACACTCTCACCAGGACCAATATTCCCTGAAGCCAATTAACCTACTGTACCAGTATGTTTTTGGACTGTGGGAGGAAACTGGAACACCTGTAGAAATCCAACATGAACATAGGGAGAGCATACAAAAACCACACAGATAGCAACCCAGGCGCGGAATGACCAACATAACAAAATTTAAACTATATGAACATAGAATCTTTTAAAGACTTGTTGAGACTTACATACAGATTGTGTATTCAACTAAATTCACTTCTGGGTAAATAAGATTTAATAGTTGTCCACTGTGACAGGATCTGTGACAGAACAGGATCTTTTCTAGTTTATTGCAATGCTTAGTAGTTCAGCATGAATCAACTGCCTATCCCCTGCTATGGGTGGTTGGCAAAGATCGGGCCATGCAAATCAACTTGAAACGGGGAAAAAAAAACATCTAAGGACTCCTATAATAGGATTTGAAAGTTCAGCCCTGTACACAGCTGTCAACAGGACCTGATAAGGATTTTCCAATCTTTTCCCATTGAGGCAAACTGAATGACACATCACTGCAGCCCAAAGTCTGACACACTTCAGACAAACACATCACCGCAGTGCTCTCCCAGCACTTGGAATGCAGATCAGCCCTCTCTGCATATTTAAGAGCCAGTTATCATAAACTGAATCACTCTTCAGTCTGTCAGTTTTATTAATAGCCATGAAGGGAAATCAGAAAGCCCCAGATATGTCAACAGTTTAGGTGGTATTATTGTGCCACAGTTTTTCCATATCCTATTTGTTCTAATTAATATGTAAGACTTACCCTAACAGGATACCCAGACATGTTTTTACATGACATTTCAACCATTTTCTTTGACACTATAGCTTTGTATTACCTTTATATTACCCTAGCATTTTTTATTTCATTTAAGCTCAATTTAATTAAGCTGTTGCATGTATTGTTTAACAGTGAGTAAATAAGAAAAGAAAATCCACTAGCAATATTTTTATAATGAGCCAACTGCAGCAAATACTAAATATTTTTTACTAACACTTGTTACCTTAAACAGTTTCTGGGATGAATCTACAACCAGGCCCAGATATGCCAGAAATGTTAAGATCAGAGTCAGACACTAATTGTTTAAAAGGTTTCAGAGGCACAGTACAAGCATGTACAAGCAATTACATTTAATTTATTCTACTATACTTTAACAGTGATGTGAATTATTTCAAAATTAAATAACACATTTATATTGAGAACGTGCATCTACTTTGATTCATGCTTCAATGCAGAAGGCAGAATGGATTTATACTAATGAGCTAACAGCATCTTGATTAGAGAAAACATCATTGTAATCCCTTTTTTTCAACTGCATCTACAGAACAGGAATTTAGAAGGTTTTAGAACAGCAAAAAGCAAATCATAAACTGCTACACAGTGTTCAAAATTTATGGTTAACTACAGTATATACTACGTCTATATCTGCATTCTGTCTGATCTGTCATTATATAACAGAATTACATAGAAAACAATTGGTAAAAACACAACTAAATATTTAAGACAAAAAATGCAGGCTTTTAATGGTGATGTTATTGTATACCATCTGCATTAGCAGCAACAATGATAAACTACTCTATTATTCATATTTTGTAAACAGACATATTCACAATATTAGCATATTTCAATTAGCCCATCGCACAACTGTTCATGTTAAGATGTCAGGAAAACAGTTAACTGTATACGGTATAAGTAGTATTCATATTCATATTAAGCTAAAAATGAAGAAACATAATCAATGTTTTCCATAAATATATTCTAAATATAGTAAATATAGTAAAAGTCCAACTATTCAAGTACATAGAAGTCTATCCTGAAAAGTAAGTATTTAACAGATCAAATGTATCCAGCTCCTGTACACACTGATATTTAACATTAGGGAGGGAGAGAATTTCCCTTCAGCTACCTGTATCATAGACAAAATTGTCTGCATGTATTTGTCTAAGGTCAAACTGAATACTTGTTGCATTAATCTAATTCGTCCTGTGATGTTCCAAATATAATGAAAATAGACACATTTATATTTTTAATGATGTGAAAAAAGGACAGTGAAAAAATGTTAGGTGTTGTACTGTAGGTGGATAAGTTTAGTACCACACCTTTCCGGGCAAATATGTACATATTTTGTTATTATGACTTAAAAAAACATTCCATAGTTTATTGTTTAATGGATAACGTCCCCTACTAATTTACTCTGCAGTTCAAAGGAACAAGTAAAGTTTAATTCCACAATGAAAAACAGAAAGGAGAAACACAGTGCTTCGGTTATTGGGAATCTTTCAGGAGTCGGGTGCAGATATTGTTTCTTCTCTCTGTTTTTCAGTGTGGAATTAACCTTTACTTGTTCCTATGCAGCCAGCAAACATCTTTTAAATCAATGTTGTCATGCTTACAAAAATCTGAATTTAGATCACAATTTAATCAATGAAAAATATATAATCATGGTTGTTAGAACATTAATGCGTCATCTGCCATATTTTAAAAGTTTTTATTTTTCTTGCAGAATTGGTTTGTTCTGTTCTGCCCAGACACACAAAAAAAACAAAACTGAAATTTCAGAGCACATTTCTATCTGTGGCAAGAGAGTTATGTGTGCCAACATACAGAAAAAGGCTCTGCAAAGTTCTACCAGAAGGACAGCAGACTGTGATTCACTTTTATAAATAATCTCACCTATGAAATTGTAACCTATTTGTTAGTTTCACAATCCACAAGAATTTACCACCTAAGAACAGGTGGTTTTCTATTTAAAATCCAGCAATCAAACTGCTTCTGACAACAGGAAAATTGTGATACCGCCTGAAAATAAATCTGTCTGTGTCTTAGTCACAGACTTGGGAACAAGTCTGGCCCAGAGCTGAGGTTGTGCAGATTTGGAGTAACTGTGTCTTCAAACCATTTACTGTATCCATCTGACTGAAATGCGGTACCAATGTGATTCGGCAAGTTGTTACAATTCTATAATCTTTCCAAATCTCTCTTTGTATTCACTAGGTCAGGTAAAATCTCTAGGTCATCCCACACCCTGAGGACTCTCACAGGAGTTACAAATGTTTTTATTTAAAAATACTCTGGTGAGGACTGTGAAGCTGGAGGCCCATTTCAGGACACAAGGAGAGGTAAACACTGAACAAAAGAAAAGCACTCTCCTGCTTAATTTTCTGACAGAGCTGGTTGGGGGGAGGGGGTCCAACAGTTGCTGTATAATCACTTAAAAAGCAGACTTTAACAGGGGAATACAAAGTATTAAAGAGGATGATTTTCAAAGAGCAGCCAGAGAAACAAACCAACAGAAGCCCTGAGGCCTAACAGATAAGTCAATGGCGGGTATCTCAAGCTTGGCACACTGTGACTTTCACCTCTGCCTCAGCTTCAAGACCTTCAAAAACTACAGACAACAGCGGAACATACAAAATGGCAAAATGCCATCTTTTTTAAGCATAAAATAAAAATATAATACTCTCTAAATGTCCAGACACATGTATTTCTTATTGTATATCTCATTAACATTTATTGTAGCCAAGAAGTATAAATAAAACAAACATTGAATTGCATGGCTTTGGAAAACGTATACCACTACAGAATACCATTCTTACACATTTAAGTTTTAAACCTATAAATATTTGTACACCTTTCCTTTTCTCCATTCAAAGAACAACAAAGGTTTCCCTCATACACTGATTTTAAGTAGTGCAAACCTTTTTTTAAAATGTAATTGATATATTTCCTTATTATTTAATAAGGAATTTATACTGTATTAAACAGTTGAGTTAACAAGAACTATACTGTCTGGTCCCTTGTTTATTAACATGTATATTTAATATGACTAGACCCTGATGAAGGATGCCTATATACTACAGGCTGTCTACATACAGTACAGTACCATTGTCTCAAAAAATGCTGATAGTACACCTTTTTTCTCATCTTTGATGTTGTGGAATGACAGAAAAATGCAACTCACATCTTGATTTTACATCTACCAGTAGGGACAGGCTATATAAAAGGCATAAAGAAACAGCCCACCCAGGTACTTTCATTACAGCTTAAAACATGAGTGCACATCAGTGACATCAGCAGTCATAGTGCTCTACTCACGTCCTGATTGGACATCTCCCAGTAGGGCCTCTCTCCGTATGACATCACCTCCCACATCACAATGCCATAGCTCCACACATCACTGGCTGAGGAGAACTTCCTGTAGGCTATTGCTTCTGGGGCTGTCCACCGAATTGGGATCTTCCCACCCTGAAAATACACACAGTAAGTTAAACATTGCCTCCTGAACCTGGAAGTAAAAATGCGAAGGTCACAATATTGAGAATCTGTTTTTTCTGAAATCGTTTTTTATTTTATTTGTGTGAATACACACTGTACCACATACAGTAAGCCAAAATACCCCTTTTAAAAAAAAAACTGATATAACTAATCTGTAAGGAAGACTTGAATAAACATGATTCAAAATCATGTTCTTTATTTTCATGGATGATATAATTCTTTGACAACTATATCCAAAGACTAAATGTGCTGAGGCACATACAGTACAACTGAGATCTTAAAATATTATTTGATTGCTTGACTAAAACGCCTATGCTTATATCAGTCCCTGCAACCTACACTTCCTTGAGATGATTTTGGATGTGACTGGTAATATACATTTTGTTATTGATTATGTTAATTAAACACAAAGGGCTACAAGTGGTTTCAGGAAGGTATATTGGAAACTAATATGCTTCCATTAACTACAGTTAACTACCAAACCAAGAAGATACATGAGTACATACATCCATTCTATAACGACTTTATCCAGTACAGGGTCGTGGGGGAACTGGAGCCTATCCCAGCAAGCAACGGGTGGAAGACAGGAATCTCCTGGTTGGGATGGCAGTACATCACAAGGTACACACAGCAGAAACACAGACACTCACACCAGGGACAGTTTTCTCTGAAAACAATTAACCTACAAGTATGTCTTTGGATTGTGGGAGGAAACTGGAGCACCCGGAGGAAACCATGTGAACCTAGGGCCCTATTAATACAGGGGCAGCCATATGCTAACCACTGTGCCACCACGCCACCCTACATGAGTACGTAATTAACATGATAAATGTGAAGTTACTGTATTTGGTGAACTGTCCATCTGATATGGAAATTGACTGAGCTAGAAGAGACAGTGTAATAGTGGGAGACTTCAAGTTTCCACACATAAACTGAGATAACTAAATGAGGAGATAACAACAAGAGATGTGTCCAGTTCTGTTTATATCATCATAGCAAGAACTCAGTTTAGATAGCTCCAGAAGAAGGTCACAGAAAGAAAACTCAGTATATTGCTGTGTGGAAGAGTGTGAGTTATAAAAAACAGCAACAATAACAAAGCTTTAGAAGGCACCAGCTGAAGAGTGACAGGAAAAAGGCAAAAGGCATATAGCAGGGTCAGATTTAATCTTTACTTTGCGCTCAGTTACATGTTATCCCTTAGAATAGTGAGTGAACCATAAAAAAAGAAACAGAATAAAAATAGATTTAGAGGTATAGAGGTTAGATTAGATTTAGAGTTCAGAAGTTTTTACAACAGTCTGTCAAATTATATCATTATACATACTTTATAGAAAGTATTATACGAAGAACCTTTTGCCTCAGATGCATTAGGAAATGAAGTGTAGCCTGTTCCTATTCAAGATTTTACTGTGATTTTACAGGATGATGGGTTTAATCTTTTCAGAATGTTGCCATGAACTTTAATGCATTAAGAGTATCACTGTGGTAATACCAAACCCAAACAAACTTCTGTTTTGATGAATTGCTCCAGCTCTTTTGTTTTCTGTTATTCATTATTTCACAAAGCTGACACTGTTTCTTTCACTTCTTATCATAGCCTTTGTTTCAAATGTGGAAATACAAACAGACAGAGCTTGCCCTAGAGGAAGATGCTTTGTAGGGTTCTTTGAAATGGAGGAAGCCAGAGGTTGCAAGATCCCCTTTATGATCACAAACTGACCTTTGGAATCCCATAATCAGAAAGTATTCCCAGCACATCTCCCTTCACCCTGAGTTAATGTCACTGAAAGTGCTTCTTTCTGGAGTAAATCCTGCTTTCTGGTTCATAAATGTTTTGTATAATTTGTCAAATGTGTAATGACTCAGTGCTGCTGGAAAAAGACAGGTGAGAGTCAATGACTGTTCTTCAGTTGTCAGACTTTTTAAGAGTGTTTTTAAAAATACAGGAAGAAAAAGAAGACAACCTGTGGCAACTCCACAACTCATTATCACCTCTCTTGTGCTTTCTACTACCTTGCCCTGCACAGGCTTCTGAGTCTAACAGAGCTGTGAAGAAAATGACTCTATTTTTAAGTTTCCCTGCCTTTTTTTGTTTTTGGTAAAGGACACTCCATTGTTGATGCAGTTAATTGGCCAGCTGGGACATAAAATCTCTGTCATGAAGTGATGCCTCTTTGACGTGAGAGAAGATCATAATCTCTGTTTCATTTATACCAAGTTTTGCTGCCATGCAAAATCTACCTATTAAAAGAAAAGGCAAAAGAAAAACTGCTCAACAGCCAAATCCCCTGGCAGGTAGGAACTGCGCTTGAGAAAGTAAACTGACAATGAAATGGAAAACCTTCCATGCACATGCGTAGTTACTGACACTTGGAGACAGGATCCTTTTCATCTAGGCTCAGTATCAGACTTTTGCACTAGAGGGTGACTTTTCAAGCAGAACAGGTTTGCACAGGATAGAGATCTATATTTGAACGCATACAACCATAAAGTTCTAGAGTGCATGGAGTATGTAATGAGGTAATTAATTCAAAGTGTTCCGTTATTAAAATTCCAATTGAGTTTATCTGTAATCTTATCAGAAACTCACTCTTCGATCTGGGTCTCCAAGTGTGTTAATGTATCAACTTGGAAGTTTTGAGTATTTATCAATTCCAGACACAGACAAAAAACCTTTTCATTAACATCAGATACTCATTATTACCTCCATAACCTTACACCAGAACAAAATCTGAAATCTTTCCTAATGACATTCGCTCAGTGCAAAATAGGTCACAGATTCATTATTCCCAGCACAGAATTGTGGAAGGTGAGACAGAAGCCTGTGTCTTCTACTCTGGTAATATTGTAAATAGTACATGTACAACAGTGTTGAAAAAGAAAAGTATATCTTGTTTAAAACACTAACTATATTCAGTCATAGAAGAATAGGATCACAATAATTCCTTGGTGAAGTGTTCCTTGCACATTTGTGGAATGTAAGAATTCCTAAACCTAACTGCTAACTGCTGTTAAGGTGACAGCTTTTGATTATTATTTAATTTTGCAATTGATGTTCTTTTGTCTTTTGTTTTTTTTTAGGAAGAGAGACATTTTAATGGAAACAATGATCAAACTACGTGAATTTGTTTCTCAAGGCACACAAAAGATATGATCATTCAAGAGCCAAATGTTGTGATGATTTCTCAGCGGTCTTGGGGTGAATAAACTGTAGAGATTCTTATTATCTCTAGATGCATTGAACAGTTAGGAGATAGAACAGCTTTATACACAAAAGCACAGATGAAGGGTCACAGAGGACACCTGAGCAGTATTCTGACAATGAGCCTGCAGTTAAGCAGTCTTCCTTGGCTATTGGGGATATACTTTCTGGTAGAAGCCAGATGAGACACTTTTTCACATGAGACACAGGTTTCACTTCCACACAGAAATAGCCCTCAAGCCCTTTTGTACATATGAACACTGCTAAAAAACTGCTTGGAAATGTCCCAGATGTCCAGGCCTGGGCTTATTGTACAGATACATTTATATTATATTTATACATACCTACAGTATATATTCAAATATACATCAAGTTCATATAGATATACAACTGCTACAGTATGATACAGGCAAAGGGGTTGAACATTTAATGAAAATACTATAACTGGTTGACATGCATTAACAAAGTATTCCACAAAACTTTTCAAGGTGACAATTTTGGGACATTGCTTTAATGTTAACCCAGAGCAGATACGAACTACAGAGCTGCAACCCTGTTTGTTTTTGTTTCTACGGTTACACCTGAATAATCCTGAATGTCAGGAACGATGTTCCTGCAGGCAGAAGATTTTCTCAGATCATAAATGTGTACTTGCAGCAGCCTGATTAATGTGTGCATCCTTCTGTTCTTTCCACAAGAAAAAACTCATCACAATTCTCCCAAAAGAGTCTCTGACATATAATCAGACTCTACGCAGCACAGTATTCCTGTGCCTTCTGTGTTGACCGATTTGTTGGCATGCAGAAAATGGCTTTCCTATTGCACACACAATTCCCAGCATTCAATATATATCACACAGAAGCAGCCAATAGAAAATAGGTCACTGGGGTCTGAGTCAGATTTAGAGAGTTGCATCTTATTTTCTACCCATAACTGTAGGATAGCTCTGTGGAGAGCAAGGTCCTCTACAGGACCAATTGGTGGCAGCAGAGTGCCGTGCTTTGCAAAGCCCTCCTTGAATGGTCTACCAAGCCTTCCTAAATGCAAGCAGGAGAACTGCACTCACGCTGGTGGTGTAGGCAGCCTCAGGGTCGTCCTCCAGCACGCGGGACAGCCCGAAGTCGGACACCTTGCAGACCAGGTTGCTGTTGACCAGAATGTTGCGGGCGGCCAGGTCTCGGTGCACGTAGCCCATGTCAGAGAGGTACTTCATCCCGGAGGCAATGCCCCGTAGCATGCCCACCAGCTGGATCACTGTGAAATGCCCATCATGCTTCTGCAGGGGACAGACAGATGGGACAGCTCTCAATGTTGGAAGGATACTGTTTCATAGTTTCCTCCCATCACGTCTTCAATGAAAACACCTCCAGCATTTTGAAAGCAATCTCTTACAAACTCGCCGCATGTCTTTTTTTGGGAGTTGGGGGTGGGGTGGTGGGGGTTGCAGGTTAACTAATTAGTAACTGAGAAAAGGTAAAGGCTGTTCCAGTGCTGCTCAGAGCTCCATCTGTTGAGAGCTTTCAGGAATCCCAGGGGAAACGCTAATCTCTTTCATGAAAAGAAAAAAAATGCATCAGGTTTCTTTATCCCAGAAAAGATAACGCAATCTCTGAAAAACTGCAGCAATTGCCACCTGTTGCCTTGTGAGAAAGGAGCTATAATTAAGCATGGGGAAACGATAATTGTAGCAGGCAGAAACTATCGAAAAGGAATAAGCAAGTAAGCTGCATTTAACAAAATCTGCATATTTTAGAAGTGATTGTTCTACAAAAGCACCAGATGACTTAATGCGTATATCTACTGTACACAAGTGCTCTCAAACAATATGATAATGGGATTCTCTATGAAGAGACGCTCATCCATTTGTAAATTAACAGTTCTAGAATGACTTAAAATAGGCCACAGATGAGGAAAGCCACCACTTTTTCATTTAATGGACTCAAGCATCAATGTGTTATAATTTTTTGTAATAATTATTGTTGAAATCAGTTCTTAAAACAACCTGCTCTTCAAATGCCTTAAAGGGCTAAAAGCACCATCTCACCCGCAGGAAGGAATCCAAAGATCCATTCTCCATGTATTCAACCACAATCATTACCGGTCTGCCTGGAATGACAGAGGAAACGTTTAGAAAAGATTCTACAATAGACTTTGATATATTTAAAGAAGATCACCTGTAATGAATTAAAACAAAATAAATATGTGAGACATCTATGGTCTTTCTTTACTTCAATGGTGAGAGAAGCAAAAAAAAAACAACCTTTCAAATTAGATTAAAGAAAATATTCACATCTCATATTTTCTATGCTGTAGCTAAAGGGGGCCCTCTGCAAATTCTTTGTGAAATGTTTTGTAATCCACTTTATTTACATTTTAGGAAGGGGTAAAAAGGCTTTAAAAATTGGTAATTCTTACATAAACCAGAACAAAAGGGCAGGAACCTGTTTCAACCTATGGAATTCCTTGTTTAAGTTGGATACCATAATTGACTTAATTACTAGAGATTGAAGACAGTTCTTTGGCTGCTGTGAAGAAAATATCAAATCCAAGATCTACTGCAGTCTAATAAGCAAGATCCAATATGTGAAATATTCTTCCTTTCCCACTCAGATCAGTGAAGGTTTCTGTAGCACATGAAACTTTGTTCACAAAGTGGTCCATACAGTTTGGGGTGGAAAAAATAAAAATAATTATCATGTAGGTCACATGTCTTCTGTAAGTGTATTAGAACTTATGCAAAATCACAATGTCCTGCAATGAAAGACTCAATTTCTTCCATGCCTTTCAATTTCTTACATGCATAAACTGCCCTAACAGCTCATATAGGAAAAAAAACCCAATTGATTTCTTTTTGGTTCTTATCTTTGATAAGGTTCTGCACAACTATGTATTAACTTACAGTAGTTAGAATCCAAATATCATATTCTGGATAAACAGTTAATTTATTATCTCTATATCTCTAGGTACAGTAAAGTGCATGCAATGTGCTCAGTGTGGCTCTTATTATAGACACACTATCTTGAAGGCCTTGAAAACACTGTACGGTATGTGCAGTCTGCTTTTTTCCCTTCTCCTCTGTTGATTAATGCTTACATAGCATGTAGACTGATCTAACTTGGGCCGGATCTCTGAATTTCTGTTTCAGGAAACCGATGAATCCATCAAATAGTCATTTAAAGTACAACAAATCCCATTTAATCTTAGTAGCGAACATAGTTCAGCTCCCTTTCTGTGCAACCAAGAGAGCAGAGCAGCAATTAGGAGACAGTGAAAGCTTAGCAGGTCGACTGCTACTTTAAATGCAGGGAAACTAGCTAGGAAATGGAAGGAATACTGTGCGCATGCACCTGCCAGCAGGATCATATTATAGTTATTATGGTCATATTTGACAATTATCTCCTGTGAAACTACTTCTAAATAAATTGCTACCAACTAGACAGAACATTGGGCACACCATTTACTGTCTACTCCATATACAGTACCATACTGGCCTTTCACACATCATATGACAGAAAAATATTTCATTAATGACCTCAGCACCTTGTTTTTCACCTTCCTGCAATTCTTAAAGCAACCTTTGGAATTTTAGTCTGTCTGGATTATTTTCTGCCAGACTGATAGATTAGTCTTTATGGGTGTGGAATTTAATCATGGCCTTTAAAAATGCAGTGAAACTCTGAGAAATAATTAAACATACTAAAACCATCTATCAATCTACATCAAGTGATTAAATCATAACATGGAAGTTAACCTTCCAAATTAATGTCCTCATTTTTTAGACGGCTGGATTTCTGCTGGCTCACAGCTGCTAGCAGTTCTGTACTCATTGTGTGCTTTGCTACATGAATGGGATGCTTGTGCACTACTTTGTCCTGTTTCTAATAAAAAAAAGATTACATGAAAGGCACAGATACAAGCGTGGTGTGGAAGGCTGAGCTGTTTGGAACTGTAAAGTGCTTTTTAATTAATATCCTGCACAACATACTATACAGATTTAACGTATGCCAAATTCTAACACACACACAAAAAGGAATTAGCCCTTTTTATTTGTTTTGATTTTCAATCTGCCAAATTTAAATTACGTAATTAGCTAGAACTTGCCAATAGAATACACATGCCTTGCCACCGTGTAATGGGAGTTAAAAAGGACAAGTGTATGATTATGAGTCTGGAAAACAGAAAACCTAGGCAAAGGGATATGATACTTTCTCTGACAAAGTAATTAAGACTCCATTGGCTACAAGTCAGTTTCCTCTCTGTTTTTCTATGGATTAGGGGATCTGAAATAGCTGTGCAGCAAGAGAATATCGGCATTCATGCAACCATTCAAATCAACCTCCAGTACATATTGCTGCACAAGTCCATTATTTGATTCTTCAGACTGTGGTTCCTGTGGCGAATTAACTGGTGCTGATTAGATTGATTTATTCTTACCATTGAAGAACAGCTGTCTGAATTCATACTGATTTCCCTATGTAGGGGTTCTCGATAGGATACACATTCACTACGTATTTTAATTAAAACCAAAGATGTGTTGTTAAAAAAACATGCAACAGTAATTCCAGTCAATTGATCACTTTGCAAAACTGAGATGAATCTCTCTCTCTCTCTCTCTCTCACACACACACACATTAAAATATCTCTCTTTCTACTTTTTCTGTGGGCCATAATTATTCTGACTTGTTTTTCTTCAATGCCTTTTCAACTGAATAAGATGTAGTGATAAAGATCTATTGACTTTAGGGAACATTAAATCTTCTTTACAATAGGTGACACATGAGCATCTATTCACTCCCTGTAGTGCGTGAGCAAACAGGACAGTTTCACACATCATTTGACCCTTTCAGAGGGACAGCACATACTGCTCATCCTGAAAAACACAGCACTGAGTTACACAGCACTGCTAGGAAACGAAGAAAAGGGCAATAACTGCATTAATGAGTAGCAAGGCATTTGCGATGGAGAGAAATAATTACCAAGAAAATCTTTCAAAATGCCTCTGGGATTTATACCATTTACACCAGGACAAATTGCAAATGAATATGCTGCTGAAGTACAAAACAATCCAGCACCCGGAGAGACTGTTGGTTCTTGCTCAGCTCAGCTTGGGGATTCAAACAGGAGTTCACAATGTGCGAATCTGAGTGAAGAGGCCAGTATTGGATGAACTCCTTATGAAAGAGCCCACAAGAGACTGGGATATGTGCTGCCAGCACACTCAAGCAGTGCCCAATCTCCTGCCTTCACTCTGATCCGCCCATCAATATGGCTCTTTTCCCTCCAGAGATAATTTGAGGGCTCTGGTAAAGAAAACCATGGTGAAAAAAAAGGATCTATACATGTGCCAAATTCAACCTTACAAAACTCAACAGGAATATTAATCAGTGCCCATTTATTGTATTTTTTTTTAAGAAGAGCAGTACAGAATTTCGACAGGCAATGTTGTGATGGTCTTAAACATGTTATTTTGTGTCTGGAATATACTAGTCATACCAATACAGGTTCTGCATAACCTGAGGATTCTGTTCACCCAGGTCCACTGTCTTGAAAAAAAACTTTGAATTTGGATTTGAAGGGCTGGTTTTGCCACATGGACTGAACTTCTTTACTTTGAGTAGGATGTGGAAAAGGCTGGAGGCTGCTGTGAAAGATGCTTCAGCATAGAAGCAAAATAAGAAGCAAAGTGAGTTTGGTATATCAGAGGTTACTGCATCATAATTCTCTCTCATCCTCCAGAACTGAAGAAGCAAAGGCACAGTAAGTGAACTTCACATTCCTACAGGCCAAAGCTCCAGCAATTCAGTCTCACTCTTTAAAGACAGAAAGCTTTCAGAGTACTTGAACACTGAGTACTGTGTTTGTTATATTTGAGGGAATATTTATTACTTTTCAATAGCAGCCAGGCAATCCTTGTAACTCTGCATTATCTGGTTCAGAGGAATGGTTCTCTCAGCTTAGCAATAGTACCAGAGAGCAGAGAGCCTCTTGTGGAAGGTCTTTTATTATCTAGCAACTACAATTATCTTCTTAAGCAACTGTGTCTTCGTTAGTTGGCATTTAGCTTGTTCCAGATTTAAAGGGACAAATGAAGATCTACTGTAGGTGCGGACTGTAGAATATCTCGACTCAGGGACTTGTAGTCTTTATAAATAATAGTGTGTCTTCTATTTTGTATTTCTTAGCTGTTTCCTGTTCTTTACTCTGAAACTGCACTAATTAGCCATGAGACAATACTTGACTTTTTATGATGATGTGGTGAAGTGCTAGCACCTTCTATCGAATTACTTTCTAGGCAAACTGGTATGACCTGATTTCTCACATCAATTCTATCTCATTTCTTTTAATTCAGAATCTGTATTTACTAAGTGCACCATGCCAATGTTTTGTAAATAACTTGTAACATGTGACTCAGATTATGAGTCCCCAGAACACTATGAATCTCCCAACCATAAAAATCAACTTTAATACAAAGACTTGAATTTGTGTTCATTTTTTCAAATGCTCCCAAATTTCAGCAAATTGACTGTTAAAATAACAAACTTATAATAATATTTTTTTATAGAATTTGGGAAATTCAGTTTCACTTATTTTACAGGTAGGCCTGCCTTTCCTTAATCACACTTAAGTACCAGCCTTTCTTAATTAGTCCTCAAAGCAGCAGAACAAGTCCAAAAACAACAGATGGTCCTAAACTGCAGTGAGAGGAAAAACTGAACCTAAAGATCTGAGCCACTGGTGTAAACTGCCATAGTTTGTGTTTATGTCCTCTTTTCAGTGCAGCCTGTAAAGCAGTGCACTGGTGGCACTTTATGCAGTCGTTTTTTGGGACTGATTATTTTGATGGCTCACTCTCCACGTCAGGCCCAGATGCTAATGCAAAAAACTAAATTCAGCTTGTCTCTTTTAATAAGAAGAAGTCTGGTTTAACCAAGCGGTTCCTTTGGAAATGGGGACAGAATGTTTGTAGTTGCTGAATAATCGACAGTTTCCAGCTTTTGAATTCCATGTTCTATATTCTAAATTCGAGGAAATCCCGGCTTGCTGTAATTATATCCAGCAAGGTAAAAGAAGTAATTTCCCTCCTCAACTACCGCAGGCCTCAGGACAACTGCACAATGCATATGAAATACACCACTGTGTCCAGAAAGGTCAACTTTGTATCCGTAAAACAGGAAGCATTAAAAACTGTAGAAGGCAGAAAATTAATTAATTCTGATCAAATACTTGAAAGTCAGAAGAAAAAAAGTTGAGGACCAATTATAAAATAAAAATGTTAATTTTACAAAACTGGATAACACTTCAGCATCAGCGTTTTTGGAAAATGGGTAAAATAAGTCATCATTTGAACCTAATTGGAACAATTTGCTAACAGTCTGGAAGAGGAATAACAGGAAATTAGCAACATATCAGGATCTTTTCTCTCCTTTTTAAATAAAATGCCCAATATTAATTAAATGATTTATTACTGTTTCATACTATAATTGCTACACAAGTGCTCAACTTTTAATGTTACTTTCCTTTTCTGGTTGGATTTAATGGTCTGGGGAACTGGAAGAAAATAAGAAGGAGATTGCTCAGTGCTTGCTGTCTAAGTGATTTATTTGTAATTCATTCACTCCATCGGAGTATTATTTTATTTACAGATTTAGACATTCTTCTGATATACTCTGCCCTCCAAAAAATGGGGCAGCAAAGTAAAAACTCTTAGTTTTTTTGCTTTACAGTTGAACAATTTTATAAACAGATTTTGAGTTACCCACTAAGAGCTCTCACAAGAACACTGGAAGCAAAGGGAACTGGTTTTGTTCCTTCTCTCCATGTTTGTGTTTTACCGACCGTAGACCTGCTATGACACACCAGCTATCAATTACACCATTCCCAGGTGTGAGATCAGACCACAAAATTGAGGCCCACTGGTCCAGGGAACAGCACCAGAGCAGTCTGTTTACTTGTCTCTGTACCTAATGATGCAACTCAATTAGGACTCAATTACAGCTAGGATCTGTATTGTATGTATTATCTTTTATATGACTGTATTGAGAAATTAACAACAAAACTACTTATCTATATAAATACAAACTTGAATCTAAAGTAAAAATATACTTTTTTCATGTATCTAACACTATATAGTGAAAGTATTAAGCTTTGTAGGTAAGCTATTGAACATACTCCACAGATATAAGAAGTAGCAGTCAATCAGGATGCTTTACTCAAATGCAATTTGTAATTGCTGAATTAATGTTTGTGCTGTACTCTTAATCCTGTAACTTTTTCATACGATTTTGTTTTTTCTTATTGGTAGAAATAAATAGTGGTGTATTATGTCTCCTGGTGCTCCTTGGTCTACTACTCAGTCCTGTTAAAAGCCCTATAAAAAGATCCTGTACAAACTGCTATTAGTTATTAACTGGCTATGCTATAGTCCTGTCTGCGAGTATACACTGGCTGGCATAGCCGAGAATGATTGATTGATAATGAAAATGATCTAGATTGATCCAGAGACAAGAAAGAGCAGTACACCTGAGCATCACTTCCTCGTCCCCCTTATTTTCTTTTTCTTTTGGCACTAGCAGTTTGAATTGTTGTGGATGCTCAAGGAAAAGTTATGGATTGCTGGAAATAATGTTTTAGTTATGCTTCAGGACCTTCAGGGCTTTTAAAGAGCCTGACATAATCCAGCAAGCTGCAGATACACTGGAACTATCCCAGCCTTAAATTTTGCATAATGTGCCCCTTGTGCTTATGCTGTGTAAGGACTATGAAGTAAATAAACTGATTAACAAATTACAGCTGGAGTTTCACAAAACTACCTAAAACACCTTCCAGTTGGCCACAGAAGCCAGCGAATTTCTAAAACTACACTTCATCTCTTCTTTTGTCATTTTCCCCCCTATTTTAAAGTTGGTTGTCATAGATTTGATTGTGTTTCATTTGCCAGTCCGTAGTGAATTGCCATTTCCAGAGTTCTGTCTCCTTTGCACAGGGAAGGTCTGTTTAAAGAGAAAGGAAAACAGGCTCAAAGCTGCTGCTCACAATTCATACTTACACTAGTAAGCATCTGGGATGCAAACAAACTGATTAAGCCCACTTTGTAATGGCTATAGTCATTTTAGTCCCTGCCAAGAAGTTCACTGAAGTGAAAATAGATTAAAAACAGCTATACTGTATTATTTTTCCTGGGTAGAGTGAGCAATTACTTTCAACCCTGAGTCATCAAAAGAAAGGATATACTGCACTATCTTTCATAAGAACAAGCTATTACTGCAGCTAAAAAAGCTTTTTTAATCAAAGAAATCATGACTTTTATACACATATCTGTTGGTGGTTGAACTTTCGTTGGTCTGCTTTGAAATATATTTTGAATTATGGAAATTATACACTAACTTTTAAAAAGCAAAACATGGCAGTCAATCAGCATTAGCAATTTACTGACCATCAGAAAAAAACCTGTGCGATTAAGAGACCTCATCAGCTTAATCATTACCTGGCACTGATGAATTGGATCTTTCTTTTCATGCTAAGAGTACACTGTGGTAAATTTTTTTCATGTGCTTCACTGAAAAATGTGTTCTTTCCCAGATGAATATAGGAGAAGAAATCATGCGTTCACCCAAGCCTGTATTGCACAAAACCTTGTCATTAAATTTACTAGGACATCATCTACTTTTTACTTTTGAACCTGGGTTTCCCTTCTTTATATAAGGAGATTTTCTTAAAAGACACAATTAGAATTAATGACATTTTAGTAAAAGTAAAAAAGGAAAAACAAAATACAATGATCTTTTCATTTTTGTAAACCAAATAGCTTTTGACTTTAGACTTTGCAGGATTTACTCAATAATAATAATAATAATAATAATAATAATAATAATAATTGCTTACACTTATATAGCACTTTTCTGGACACTCCACTCAAAGCACTTTACAGGTAATGAGGACTCCTCTCCACCACCACCAATGTGCAGCATCCACCTGGATGATACGACACCAGCCATAGTGCGCCAGAAAGCTCACCACACATCAGCTATCAGTGAGGAGAACAGAGTAATGAAGCCAAATCATAGATGGGGATTATTAGGAGACCATGATTGGTTATGGCCAATAGGAAATTTGGCCAGGACGCCGGGGTTACACCCCTACTCTTTTTGAGAAACGCCCTGGGATTTTTAATGACCACAGAGAGTCAGGACTTCGGTTTTACGTCTCATCCGAAGGATGGAGCTTGTTTACAGTATAGTGTCCCCGTCACTATACTTTGGCATTAGGACCCACACAGACTGCAGGGTGACCGCCCCCTGCTGGCCCCACTAACACCTCTTCCAGTAGCAACCTTGAATTTTTCCAGGAGGTTTCTTACCATAGATAAATAATGCTCTACTAAATGTCAATGTGGAATTAAATACTTTTGTTGATTAAAAAGATCACTTCACTACTTAGTATCAAAAGCAATACTACAAATAATTGCACTTTTCACCAGACACAAGAAATTAACCTGTTTAACCCTAACAATTCTGTGTTAAGGATTATTGATTATTCAGTGCGTTCTTGGATTACTTCATATTACAACTTTGAATTGCTAAACAGCTTGATGCACATGCACATTCACACGAGATTCTCTTATATTCACCTGCCTTTGGACATATTATGCTAAGTTATCGCCTGCACCCATTGGTGGCACAATGGTTAGCATTTGCAACACTGGAGCCCCAGGTTGAATCCAGACCTAGGGTGCTATCTGTGTGGAGTTTGTGTGGACTCTTTTACACAGTCCAAAGACTGTGACATACTGCAACTTTAATTGGCTTCTCGGAAAACTGTGAGTGTGTGCTCCGGCACCCTTGCAACAATGAATTGGAGTTAGAACAGCATTTAAAAAAATGGATGGATGTCTCGACCCTCAAAAAACATGATAGCAATTTTGATACAGTATATAATAAGGTAAGAAAGGATAATGGTGAAGTAATGAAACTGCTTTTCAGGACCACGGACAGCACTCATGCTCCTGGAAAACACAAGCAGAATTATGACCAGGAAACTAATGCATTCATCCACTATCAGAAAGCCTTTAGAATGCCCTCATTTCTGGTGAGCATGATGACAATCTGGAGCTGCGGATCCCAGGAACACAGGAAGTCAGGAAGGACTACATTCTGGACAGGACAAAATTCCATCGCAGGACAGCTACACACGCTCAGGGACAATTTAGGGACACTAGATCAGCACATATTTGTAAGGAGGAGAAAAATTAAAGCGTCTGAAGAAAACCCATGAGGGGTAACATGCAAACTCCATGCAGAAGATGCCCATGCTCCAAAATTGAACCCAGGACCCAAGAACTGTCCACAGCAAGAGCGCTAAGAGCCACACCACGATGCAGTCAGAACTGAAAATACAGTTCTGCATTATAAAAACTACATTTTACACAAGGCCTTTAAGTCTAACCAGAGTATCTCTACAGAGGCAATAAACTCTTGTTCACTATATTGAGTTAGCACTTAAATTTGATAAATTACCTCAATATAAAGCCCTTCTCAATTCTGTCCTGTGAATACACAATCAGATTAAGGCTTTTGACCTTTACAGCAATGATTTCACAAGCCACTAGCTAATAATACAATGCTACTATATTTTGAAGCTATTTCCCCTATCATCTAGCTTTCTAGTTCCTAATTTAGGATGTCTAGGCAAAAAAGAAGAGCAATTCTGTTTCTTGGCTTTGTGTTGGTGACAGGGAAGATAGACCTTCCATAAAACACATACTGTAGGCAGTGGATGGACATGGATGTGTTTAAGGCCTTCTTACTTTTGGTAACCACCCCCTCCAGCCGGATAATATTAGGGTGGTCGAACTGTCCCATGATGCTCGCCTCCCTCAGGAAGTCCCGTCTCTGCCTATCCACGTAGCCTCCCTTCAGTGTCTTAATGGCCACAGGGATTTCTCTTTTGCCTGGGGTTCGCAGACGCCCGCTGCACACCTCTCCAAACTCCCCTGAAAGACAGTTGCACTATCATCAGAACTACCCTTCAGCAGCAGAAAAATGCTCTACTGCACATGTTAGAATGGACCTCTGAATAGGAGTTTTTTACAGCATGATAGAGAAGCTCTACATTATCTATTCAATCTGTACTGTACACTTGCTAACCCTCAACAACAATGAGGAATATTGACTAGTTATTGACGGCGGTTACTTTGGCCCTGACTTCAGCTTTTTTTTCTGGCAGATCACTGCCAACCTTAATTTTCTATCGATTAAAATGCTTGAGATCAGAATGTGTGTAATTTCATTTTTGTATTATGTGATTTGTTCTATTATTATATGTTGAGCTAATCAATTTTCACGACAGAACATTGTGGGATGTAACTACAAATACCAGCCGCTGGGTGGCACTCTTACGGTTTCTTAAAAAAATTAAAACCATTTCTTTTCCTCATCTTAACTCTCATTTTGATTTCCCAAACCTACTATTTATCCTGCCAAAGAAAGACAGTTTGTTTGTTCTGCTCTATCAAAAGTTTCTTCTCTGAAGATTTTTTTTACTTTTTAAAAGTGAAGGGATTTTTTCCCAGTACACAAGGAAGTGCAGATGTATCATTTAATAAATCTCTTGTAGCAGACAGGCTTTCAGCATCTAAATATCGAAGATGATTGCAATACGTGTAAAAATAAAATATGATTATCGCCCAACTTCATGTGTTAGGTCCCGAGTTATTCATTTCAACAAAAAGAGAATTGCAGCATTTGAAAAATGTCTTTTTTGATATTTTCACAATATTACATATACAATGTATATTTAATAAATACATAAACTAAAGGGAATGGAACATAAACATAACTTCTAAGGGAAAGACTCTAATAGGATTTTAATGAAAAAACAAAAACTAGGTAGAGAAAACATTTAAATAGATAAACCTTTTACAGGTTAACTCCTATAATATATTTGTCTTTAACATCCGTGAAAACAAGAGAGTAAATGAAATAGCAAGATGTTATTACATCTGATTTCTTCACTTTTGATCATTTGTATCATTAAAATATTAGCATGTGAGCCTAAAACAACACTGCAATAGCTTGTATTTGTGTAGCACATTTAACTTTCGAATCCATTTAAATCTGGTATCTTTTTCACAGAAGCCTTCGTCTCAATGCACGTCCAAGAGTCAAATGATCTAAAAGGTGGCTTTCTATAGTGTCATATGGGATTAGGCAAAGTACCCTGTGAAATGTTTCAAAAGCAGGAAGGTTCAGTGTCAAACGTGTCCTGCAGATCATGGCTGCAGTGGGAGGGGAGCTGGGGCTCCTCGGAAACTGGCACTGCACCAGGACATAGAGTATTCCCCTCCTGACGTCACGAGTACTGAATGAAGCAATTATTCTCTGGCCATTGAACGGCATTGAGAGAGAGAGACATGTCTCTGGGCATGCACTTGGCTTTCGCTGGGAGCATGCACTCTAGTGGACTGTACACTGTAGGTGCACGTGTCATTCAGCTTTGGGTCTGTTTCTGTTTTCCTTTCTCCTCTTTTCTTTCAGTTTACTTTTTGGTTGTTAATATTACTTTGCACTGAAACTGTATTGTCTTTGTACATTTGGATGAAGTGCCATTCCCCATTTTCTACATACAGCGTTACAATTAGGGTGATGAAAAGGAATAAGGAACAATTCAGATTATAGTCAGGCTTCCTGAAGACCTCCTCAGACATGTCCCTTGCTCTTTCACCTACAAAGACAGTACATGTGAGCCTGAACGTGTACACAATTATTGGTGTGCAGTCCCCTCACCAGTGGACTAAGCTGAAGCCCTTTAATTCTTTTGTGAGCTCAGCTGGCCTTGAACCCTTGACTTCCTACCTGCTCCGATCACTCTCTCGATTCGGATGCGCGAAGGATCGATCTCTTTCGCGAACTCATGCACAGCCTGCGTCGGGTCTTCGTAGGTGTCTGGGTCAATGTAGGTTTTGATTCCTGGAAAACGAACTGCAACAGAGGCATGTGGAATATTTTAAAAGCAGCAGAAATGGGGCTAGGTAATTGCTAGGCTCTGGAAGATAATCTAATGTGTGAATAAAAACAGAAGAATGAAAATATCTGCTTAGTGATTATTCTTACTAATTAGCCATTAGTACCCAACAGGCTAGAGGGACAAAATTGGGCTCCTCACATCTGAAACCATTCTATGTTCTTAAGAAATGTGAAAAAGCTCTGGATTTGTATTGTTTAAGGACACACACAGTTTTAGAAAAGTAAAGTACACAATCCCTTGAGGAATAATTCAGCATACCAGAATGTCAACCTGTAAATCTTTTATTTCGTGATGCTTCTGGGTCCTCCTGTTGTGTTAAAAACTGCAGTTCTCTCTCAGGCCCTGACGTCCAACAAACACATTGTTTGTACCATAATAGGATATTGGTGGTGGCAGAGATATAGAGAATTGCTTAGGCCTTGTGAAAAAGTTATTTAGTGATTAAAAAAACAACTTTTAGCTGACAAGCACTGCTTGCATATGCTCTTGCTGTGCAGTCCCTGTTCTACACTAATGCTCTTGCCAAGGCAAGCTCCATAAAAACCGGATTTGGTCTCGCAGAGATTTCAGTGGAATAAATCTCTTACTGTAAGCATGGGGTAGGAGCTAGCTCCAGGACTAGAATGGGCTATGAGGGAAAACTGCAGCTACAGATACAGAGAAACAGCTGTGCAGGCATGGCAATAATAGATGTTCATCAGACAGGCTTACTCAGGCCTGTTTATCATCTCCAAGCCTTATTCCCCAAAAGGAAGAGTTTGAAGAAGCACCCACTGTCTCCCCGCGGGGAGAGACTCTGACAATTTCATTAGCTTTGCCTACTTGTATTCATCCCCTTTTATCAATCTTTCAGCATCGGCAAAGGAGTATCTGGCGTAGGTGATAGAAGAGAGACGGACAGAGGCTGCATTTTTCAACTGTTCTAAAAATACGAAGCCCTGAGTTTTCACTTTTCTTAATTCAACCGCAACCCAAAATACTTTCATCAAAAAGAAATGTAAAAAGGTGCTGAAGTGAGAAGTTAGACTTATCTATGTATATGTACTGTACTGTATGTTACAGGTGAATGGGCATTGTTCTGTCTATTACCTTGTTTGTTTGTCCCCAACACAATGCACAAAGCTATTAGTTTTGCAGCTCAAGGAGAAAAAAAAACTATCCCAGACTTTTCAGACTCTCAGTGGATGACAGAGGACAGTCATGGACAAACCTGTTTCTTCTTTTCCCTTAGAACTGCTATCCACAGCTGTTTAGCAGTGTTAACAAGACAAAAAAGGTTTTAAAAACAGGTCATGCAGTTAACCCACTAAATAGAAACACTAGAAAGTGTTTGCATGAAAACTATCCAGTATGCTTTGAAGTTGATTCAAATAAGTTAAGAGAAAACAGAAAACACCTCATCTCTTAGAAAGCTGTGGTTGTGGCTGCTCTTACTGTGGCCATTTTGAAGGTGAGTCCTCCTCTTCTCCTCTGACTTCATCTTGGCTTTGATGTACCACTGACACCTTTACGGACAGAAGAAGAAAGACTGAGTGTGAAACATGTTAGGGGACACGACCGCCTTTGCATTCTTGTCAGCCCTGGGAAGAAAAATTAAAGCAAAATAAAACATTAAAGCAAAACAAAAGCCCATTTTTTCCGTCTATGCACTGTTTATCACTCTACCTCAGCTGTGGGAAGAGTGCAATCTTCAGACCTAAATCCATCTAGATTTGAACAATTTAAATAATTTATCCTCTCTAGAGCAAAAGGTCAACAATTACCAGGGTGGTGAAGGTTTTGATAGCTTTCACTCTCACATAATTGGCTTCTGATTGAGGCAAGATTACAGAGAAACAAGACCAGTTAGGCATTCATCACATTTTCTGTGCTGTCCTTTTTTGTTTTGAAAGTACCGGGTTATCTTTTGATTTGCTTGGATGATCTTTTTAAAGCTAAGCAGACGTTGCCTTGCATTATGCCCAGTCTTCCCAAAATAATATTAACAGGAACAAAAAATGTCCAATGAATGCAGCGCTAAGGGAGGAAAGAATAGTGATGAGGCAAGACATAGGCATTAAGGATAAGGAGCAGCAGACTGGAAAGGAATGTGGGAAACAGTAACCTAAGGCAAATGGAAAGGCAACGGAAAATGAGCAGTGAACACAGAAATGGCAAACATACTGTAAATGCTTTGGTGAATCTTTATAGTGCCTTGCAGCCCATTGCTGGTCATCCTATAGTCAACTATCTCATTGCAAGCTATCTGCTTGCTGTGCTCTTCTGCTACCCTGAGCTGTTGATCATTAAACATTTCATGACGGCTGTGTCTTTGCCTTGGGCAGGCAAGTTGTGCTTGTGTCTACTGCAGGAAAATAGGATTAATAAGAGTTTGTAAAGAACAAGCCCCTAGAGATATATGCCAAACCCCAAGTGACAATGAGCGTCTTCAATATTTTAGGCCTTGTTTTTTTTAATTGGTTTTTGATTCGATCTGTTTTACACTTGGAAATTAATGGAGCATTTGTGGACTAAAAAAAGATCAGAAGTGCAAAACATTATGGATTTTCTAGTGCAAGTGGCTTTTTATAACTCCAGCCTGAGATTCTTCTTTCACATGAGAGTAAAATAATCAGTGTTTCCAATATGGTAGTAGTCCTGATACATGCATTGAAGGCAGGAATTTTTAACCAACATTGTTCACATGGCATATCATCAAATATAACCTTTTAGCGCCAGATGTACAGTAATTGCAAGTCCATTAGCAGCATTTGAATATAAAGGCTTAGTTCACATTTTGTTTTCTTTTTAAAAGGCCTTTCATGCTTCAGTGCATTTTCCCAGGGTTAACCAAATCACAGCCAAAGGGTGTGAGTTAAAATCATGGGTGTCTTCTCAACCCTTTGAACAATCACATATAACTATTTAGCATTACTGCAATGTACAATAACAGTGCTAATCAGTGGAACAATGGAAAAGTCAACAAAGAAGAAACCATGCAGCAGAATAAGCTATCCCTCTAAGTGCACTGACAGACAGAAAATAGCTACCTGTGTCTAAACACTGTGTGGACTCTTACTGTGGCCCACTGTGTGAGAGGGCACCGAAAAACATTAACTGTAAAGAAAACAATGACAAAAAACTATATGGTTTGACCAGGATGAAGAGACAAGTGCTACCAGACCTGATAAATGTATGGCCCACAAAAGCACTTGGATGATACATTTCCAAAAATGTTTTGTTTTGTTCACCATTATTATTAAGTGTGATAAATGCTGTCTGTAGCCAGTGAAGTAAGAAACTGTGAAAGTTAAGTTAAGGCTTGAACATTTCTTTCTTAAACTCCAGTGGTAGACATCTGAAAAATAAAGGCATGACAGGGGGTGTGTCCGCTGTTCCTGGCTGAGATCACAGTCTCTTCACTCCTCTCACCATTCACTTGATTGGATTTGCTGTGATGATAATTTCTGATGTTAAAAAAGAGCTGCATGTTGCCAAAAGTGCAGGTCATGTGTAAACCCTACAGCCCTCCAGAGAAAAATTCTGAATTTGTCCGATTAATCAAAAAATTGCTGCAGTTAAGTAATCAGGAGCATATTCGTGTGGAACAAAAATTCGAGACAATTTGATCCTTCTGATCTGAAAGGCAGTGGAGTGAAGACAGCAGGCAAAGTGGACACTAGCCACAACTGAGTTCATGTTAATCACGAGCATAATGAAGTACAAATGACTGAGGTCTTCAGAGTGCGGCAAACCAACACAGGCATCACCATAGGTACAGTATGCTGTGTGACCTAAACCACAAGGCAGGGTATTTGGGTCTTCATCACAACAATTCACCATGCTATTTTTCTTCTTATGGGCTATACAAACGTCTATCTTATACTTTCATTTAAGATGCATCAGAGAACTATAAATTTCCTTTAATGCTTTCCCTCTTAAACCCTGGAGAGTCACTGCACTTGTGTGACCTCACTTAGGGACTTATTTACTTTTGTCAGTACACAATACTTCACGCACACTATATATGCCCAGCAGAGAAGTGAAGAATGAAGCCTCAGGGATTATGTGTGCGCGAGGCTGTGCATATGTGCAAAAAAGCAGAATTTGGAGTCCAGCCTGCTCAGTATTTATCAGACAATATCTGAGTAACCATTGATGGTAAAAGGTATTCAATGGACTACAGCTGTTCATTTACAGGTTCACGTATCTGTGAATAAGCTGTCTGAGCTTTTTCATTGTGGGTTAAAATGACTGTATAATACAGAAACAGCTCTTATTTGAGTTACTAATGATATGCTGATGACTGCTGATTATTTTTTTGATCCATTCTTCTGCAGTTGGACCTCAATGCTACCCTTACTTCTATTGATCATACCATCTCGTTGAATAGATTAGATGAAAAGGTACTACTGGAACTGCTTTGCTAATGGTTACTGTATATCCTGTCCAACTTACAGAAAACAATCTTTTCAAATTGGATATTGTACTACCTCTACAAAATTGGTTGTAGCTGGCTTTGATCTGTTTTTGAATAGTAGTGGTATCAGTCCTTTACTATGTAGAAGACATCCAACTTTATGGTTGCAGAATTCTGACCTTAATCAAGCTCTATCTGCCTTGTGACACTGCTTTGGTGATGTTAAAAAAGGGATGCAACAGATCATTTTACACATGAACTCTGACTTAATCCAAAGGTATTATTTTGATTATCCTTCCTTGGCAACTTTTCAGCTCTGCAAATACTGTCAGTCTTAGTTTGACAGCTGATATCAATTCAATCCTTGACACTTCTTTAGTGTTATGTTAACTTTTTATGACAACTTTGTATGTATCCATACACCATATCTCTCCCGTTCTGATGCAGAATATCTATTGGATGTTTTTGTTCTACATCCTGGATAGGATGCCATTATAGCACATACCCACAATTCAGAGGAACGGATTAACCCAAAAAGCAAGCCTTCGGAAGATGGAAGTGAGCTGGAGGACCTGGTGAAGAATGACCTTACTAGCACCTAGAATTATCAGCGTAATGGCATATACAGGGAGCAGGTTGTGTCCCATTTTTTTCATGTGTGGAAGACTAACTGGCAACCATATGGATGGATCACATGGATGAGCATGATACATGGATTAAAACCACAAAACAGAAGCTTTAAACAAGATGATAATATTGATATTGATAAGAGCATTTTTTGGAAATAGATAGCTGAGTGGCGTAGTACAGTAGGTCTAGAATATCGTAAGTGTCATGTATTACCTATTGCCTACGCAATATTTTCCAACTTGATAGTTTTTCTTATTGCATGACTTTTATCCCCCATAAAAGTTTTTTGTCATTGTAGCAGTACTCTTCCACTAATCACATTCTATGCCTTTAATGCCAGTTATTCCTGTTTTTGTGGAACCTTGTAGGTTTCAGTGAAGCATGGTTTTCGCCCAGTTCATTTATGGAAGTTGCTGAAGGTGAAACTGCACAATCTGTGTGGCAGAAATCCTAAACCAGAGACTGCAGAGAAAACTTCTGTTTCTTTAAAGGATAGGCTTGTATGCGGTTATTGATCTTTGCAATGCCGAAAGAACAAGGTTATCAGAAAAGGCAATAAACAGATACAGTTCACAAATCCTGAACAGAATTATCCAAAATGCCAATCTCTAACAGATCTGACAGTATATATAAATTAAGTATAGATCTTTCTATTCAATAAGATGTTATTTCTCCATACTGTACATACTTTAAATTGACTCTGATAGTGACACTATAATGTTAGGTACAACAAGCACCACCAAAATAATTGAAACTATTATCTTACATTGGAATTTTGAATGAAGGTGTTCCTTTCCCAATGGCAGAGTGTTCTCTTGTTTGGGAATTTTGACAGATGTAACCATGACAGACTGAAAAACAGCACAAGCTGCAGACAGATGCTGCTCCACATTGGATATGACCTTGCAAGCTTGCTCAGCATGTGGAAAATTGACAAAAGGAGAAGGGGAAAATCATAGGTCCAGATAAACGCAGATGATCCTGCAAACACAGTTATCAAAACGGCACGTGATGCCACCATGCCTGCAGCTTAAGGGCCATCAACCAGACAAAAGGCAAGCCCATGGGGGAATGACAGGGACATCAGGGCTTGTGAAACAGTGAGAAACACAACTGCAGAGACCCCGCTGTGTGAACAGCTGGAAAGAGTTGCACAGATGCAGTCAACAGTAAAATGGGAAAAGGATTAATGCTCAAAACGTTGCAAACAAGGGGTTTGTGTTGACTCCCAGTGGTAAAGACAACTATTGAGAGTCAATTATCCGAGTCTTCATCTGCTTTTCAGAAAAACTTCTGTCAGATTCTAATGGAGAACAGAATAGAGGAACCTCTTCTGTATATCGTGTGCATAAATCTGCAATTTGCTTATAATGGCCCTGGAAGAGGGCCACTAGAGATGGCAGTTCTGGTCTAAACCATATTTCCCAGAAAGCTGCAGAGAACAACCTGCCATCCTCAGTTACCTGACCAATTGGT